CTAAATTAGTAGAATTATAATTTACCATTTTATTTTCAGATTATGTCAAAAACACACTTGGTCACTGCACACCCTCGTTGGAAACAGCATGATCTGGGCTGTTTCCAAAAGCGTCGAACCCCCTGGTCACTTCCATCACCTTCCCCGTAGTCTGTCGTCCAAAACCCCTTTGGTTCTCGACTCATTGACCTCTCCAATCGCCAACGTCGTTAGGCTTATGGTTCCGCTATTCTTCGTAGACGCCGTTAGGCTTAGGGTTAATGATTTGTGATCAATAATATCATAATTGGAGTTTGTATTTGATTGCAACCAACAAAATCTATAAAACATGTTCACAATAATCATATTGTTTGAGCTAGAATATATATTAAGTTTCTTGTCTGGTTTTATAGATTTGGAGACAGTGGTTGCAGTGGTGGTGTCCAATTGGATTTTCGCAATCGGAATCTGGTGAAGAACAGCGGAAACCTAAGCCTAACGGTGTCAGCGATTGGAAGGGCCAATGAGTTGGGAACTAGAGGGGTTTTAGACGATGGACTACGGGGAGGGTGATGGAGGTGCCAGGGGGTTCGACGCCGTTGTAACCGAGGGTGTTTTTGACATAATTTGAAAATAAAATGATAAGTTATAAGTCTACTAATTTAGGGGTTAAAACATAATTTATTAATTTTGGGTTAAAGGTATTATGGTAATTGCATCCTTTAAACCCTAAAAATTGATAATATTGTTATTTTAAAGGTGAGAATCTAGAATAAATGTAATTTGAGATACCAACTTGGGATTTTGTCAAACCTTGGATGGGAATATGTCGTTTACTCTTTTATCTAATCTCAAAAGAAAAAAAAAAAAATTAAAGAATAAGAGCACCAATTTCGGGGTTGCGTAATTGGATTTGTAATGTTGTACTAAATCTCATGGAGAAAGCAAGCTAAAAGAAGCGAATGGCATGACAACTCAATATTCACATCACATGGACATAATATATGGACAGCCGAACAGACTACCTTAGCATTCATGGACCACATAAAAATATTGCTCACGGTTAATGACTACTGAAATTTGCTTATATTAGCTCATTGTCATATCAATACAAGGCTTGCTAAACAGAAAGTGAATGAAAATTTGAAGAAAATGAGGAATTCGAGAGCTTACTCCATTGAAGGTATATTCGTACAATACCAGTTTTGGAGAGGAGGTTCTTCAATGATCAGGAATTTTACTTGTTATAGCATACTTTTTTCACACATAACTTAATTTTGTTAGCATAAGAGGTAGCAGTACTGCTCTTAAAACATCATTCCAGTAGTCAAATCAATGTAAGACATTTAGCATGAAAACATTTCCACTAATAAAGGGATAGTAAAGAAAAATCAAACTAAAGTTCACACCATCTATTTCACAGCATGGTACCCAGGTTTTATCATCATACAAAGAAAATATTGTTTGTCAAACAGAAAAATTGTGAGCAGCACTGACAGCAGAAGCAAATAAACAGAATAGATGATCCACACTCATAGATAATTGCTCATAATATAGATGACAACAACAGCCTATTTATGAGAATCAAAAGAAAACAGCACCTCAATAAATCCTTCCAGTCACTTAGGGATTGAGCAGAAAAGTTTACACACTGGAGTCATCATGCTCCTTGAAGCTGTCAACATCATCCCTACTTCGTCAGTAGTTTCCTGAACAATATACTTCCCTTCCACTGCACAGAGTAACCTGTAAAAAAGAGGCTTCAGGAATACAATAGGCTGTAGAATATAAATACAATAAAAATACAGGACACAATCAAATCTAATTCTATACAGTTTACAAAACTGTCAAAGATGACACCAAAAAAAAAAATTAATTCTAATTTTGGACAACAGAGACCTTGTGGGTGGCGAGCCAGGTTAACGCCTTTAACTAAAAATTGTGCCTCTCTGATGCAGATATTGCAATCGGCTGACGCTTAGAATTTGACTGTGTTGTTATATCTAAGAGGCAAGGATGTGTCTACAACAACCTGACCTGCAGCATTAAAAAAGTAATAATAATGAAAAAACTTCCTATGAAAGTGTAGCTACACTTTCAATTTAACATACTAATCATGTAAACTTTGAAAAAGCAGATATAAATAGACCATTGTAAATGAATGCTATCTGATGTTGCACTCTAAAATAAACCCATCCAGTCGTCCAGAAAGAGTCATTTGAGAGTTCCAGAAGCCTACTCAAACTAAAAGTCAAATCACAACAAAGCTGCAAAAACCGCAAGTAATAGTTGTAAGATCAGTAATGTTGCCTCGAAATAGAATATTAAGAAAAATGAAGTAAGGATATAGAAGGAAAAAAACATTTCAATGTAAATGATTTCATCAAGAGAGCTTACTTCCTCCCAAGAGCTTCAGCCTGACGAAGATAAAAGTCAGAATGACACAACCAGGCCTAATATAGCTCTCCATATCAGTAGGACTGTGAGAGAGCAGTCAGGATCGCAAGTTGAAACATTTTAAATAACAACACTTCCTGAGATGGGAAACTTGGAAGAGTTGCACTAACTACATTTACAGTTGAAGTACCTGTGCTCGCAGGACACGAGGAAAACATTGTGTTCTTTCCCAAATAGCTTAAACACAATCCGATCTGTGCGGCTCTGAAATGGGCAAAGCAACAAAATCACAAAACTTAATGTGGGAATTCTACTCCAATCTACATGACTGCACATTAAGTTGCATGTTTCTTGCATCACATGTGAATCCAGCAAGTCTTCTATTACAGTGCATTATCGTTGATAATTTAGATAGGCAACTAACTTATGTGCATTCAGCTACATAATACCTGTGCATCCCACTGGAACTAGAAGGTGACTGGGCGATGCTGAATCTGAGTTCCCACTAGTCTGGGGGGGACTTGACTGTTGAGAGTCTTGTTGTACCCATGAAGGAATCAAGGGAGCTACTCCCGGATTTGCAGGGACAGGGGATCTCTCTACATCTTCTGTGCCATCATCTGAGTCAACATATATGTCATTCAAATCAAACTTATTCATTTTTATCCGCCCAGCAGCACCATTTTCAACTTCTGCACCCCTGGTTTTATGACCATTGGCCCTTGCTGTGGCATCCCGATACAGGTAACATTGAGATGTTGTCGGAAAGGCCTAGGAGGACCTTGACCATTTGCCATCATAGCTGAAACTACTTCTGAGTTCCAACAGAAGCGCCATGATTATCATACTTTGAGGTTCCTGCAAGAGCAGCTATGCTTCTCCTCCATGTTCACCAGGAGGAACAGCAAGGCTCCTTAGAAGATGAGATAGCAGATCCTGACTGTTTTCGGTCTGATCTATTGGCTGCAGTCAGGTAAAATTATTAACGGTCAGCAAAAAACAAACAACGAAATGTTTCCATCTTTTCTGATCGGCATAACACAAACAAGTTTTATTTTAATGTATAAATCTGCACTTCATTCAGAGAAAATGAGTTCAGGAAAAAATGTCTCCTTTTCACCTATTGTTTATGTATCTTCTATGTAGGATATCACCAGCCTATTAGCCCATAAATGGTGCAATCAAGGTTAGAAGAAGAAGAAGAAAAATCTAAGGTAAAATCAGGCTTCATTTTTGTCATGGGAAAAGCACAGAGTTACTCACATGCATATTGGAAAGTATCCTTAAGAGACTATCAACAGATAAACACTAGTCTGATCATCATTAAGTGAGTTCCATTACTGACAGGATCGGATTGGTTTTCCTCCTCCGTTTATTAGCCCTGCTAAACGCCTGCGGCAACTCCTCTTCCCTCACAAACTCTTGAAGGACATGAAATCTGCCAAAAAGTTCAACAAAATATCATTTACCACACCTTAAACCAAAAGTATGGACAAAATTCTGTTCATGTTCATTATTCTAGGCTCTAAAGGCTGGATTGTATTCCAATATTACCAAGGCAAGAGTTAGACAAGCACAAGTTCCATGACAAGATAAGAAGTTTATGATACAAAACTAATAATTCATGACACAAGAAACTCAGAAGTAAGTCCTCACCTACTACATTGCTGACAAAACCGCTGCATAACATTCCCCACAAGCGCCCTGCTGGCCTTGGAATGCATCTCACACACCTTGCCGCCTATGATAATCCTTGGACCTGTCAGATCAGCCCCACAATCCTCACCTGACAAACTGCACGGTTCGAAGAACTGCACCAAATTAGTTTTCTTTTCCACTAGCTCCTTCCCAATTGCCCACCTCCCTCTCACAGACCGGAAAACCATTGCCGCCAAGTTTTAAACTAAGTCCACCTGCCGCCTCGTATGAATTATGATCATCAACTAAATAACCCTCCTTTTCTTCTCCAAGTCTCTCTTCCCCTTCTCAATTCCTTGAATCCCTTCATCCGAACATGACGATGAACTATTGGTGAATTTCCAGTGCCAAGTGGGAAAAAATGGCGGCCCACGTTATTATTAGGCACCGGATTCAATGGGCTGGCAATGAAAAAGTCACCATCCCATTTCAATCGTTCAAGTCCCATCTAGATTCTTTTACCTACTGCCCGCAAATCCATGGAATTCATACCATAGAAATGATGATTTTCACCTCTAAATCTAGTCTCCATGTTGAAACTCAGATAATAAATTGAAAGATCCCAATCCAGTAAGTGAGCTTAGAAATTAGAAAAAATCAGTAAAACCCCCGAAAAGTAAATCCAATTTGACGACAGATCAGAGTTCAAAACCCCAAAAACTAAACCCCTAATTTACTAATCAGCTTCACTTCTTCCCCAAAAGTCCAAAAACAGTACACCAACACATCCATGGTTCCAATTAAGAGCAACCCACATAACAGTGAATTAAAATTGACCACAAACCCTTCAAAATCAGCTATAAAACCTCCCAAATCATTGAATTCCAACTTTGCACCACTGAGCTGTCCACATCCAATTGTTAGATTCATACCCAACCTCAAAAGATAATAAAAAAAAAAAAAAAAGTGAAAATAAAATAAAACTATAAGATAGAAGCGTTACAAGCGTAGCGATCTCACTAATGCTCTCTCTGCTCAAATCAAAGTAAAATCACCCGAGTCAAGAGCAATGCAGTTGGTGTACTTAGTACTTACATGTTGATAAAGGTTGACTCGATAATAAATAAATATGTCAATAATATTACTGACTCCGAAATTGAAATCCACCTGCACACACCGTTATACAACTCTCAACTTTACAATCTAGAAATGCATACAAATACAGATCACCTATAACCGGTTATTATCAAGTTGGGAGTTAATATACTTCAGCTTGTTCCATAGTCCAGCATTTCCCACCTGAATGGACGGAACACGTAAAGAACTTCAGGACAGCTTTTAAATAGTAGAGCCACACACACACACACTGCAGCAATAGCCACCATTGAGAGCATTGTAGGCCTGTACACCAGAAACCTGCCCGCTGTTCCATAACCCGGCTTCTGGTGGCAAAGCTTGCAGCCACCGTGGTTGGGTCTGATTGCAGTTCGTGCTATCTCAAATGTACCACTCAAATCATCATTTTGCTTCTGGTTTATGTTACAGCCTGCAACAATGGCAGGCATGTCAACAACCACATGGCCAGAAGCTGGTCTCTTAACAATCTTCTTCTGCACCAGGTGGATGTACGAATAGTGTCCACGCAAACGTGCATAATCTTCAGGTGTAGAGCCTGTGCTGTCATGAGCCTTCTTCCATGCTTGAATTCCCACCTGATACAGAGACACCAAGTTGGATGTTTAAAGGCAATGGTATCTTTGATTTCAATATTTCGACTAATAACAAAAAAGATGCCCTTGATTTCCAATAATATATCTTAAAGTAAACAGAAAAACAAGGATATCATGCCCTCTATATGAGAAACAACAACTAACTGTTCCATAGTAGTAGATATACGCTGGACAACCACTATATGAACTCTACATGTAGGACATGGCACTTGCTAGGACATTCAACATTAAGATCAGACAAGGATTGAGTTGAAAATTAGCTATTAACAGACAAAAAATGTATCCTGACCCTGCACCCAACAGCCACCCACTAACCATCCCCAAGATAAATCTGAATAATGTTTTAATTTGGGAGAGCAAAACAAGAATCCAGGTCCACCTTACTAACAATTAGCTGCTTCTTTTTTTTTTTTTTTTTTTCTTTTTTTCTTTTTTTTCTAACTGCTAATGGTAAACTTGCTTCTGTCCACACATTGCATCATCCACAAAACATAAAGTTTGAGATTAATGCAGTTGATCGAATCAAGTCAATACAAATTCCAATTATTGAGTTGGCTTAGACACTAGTATGCAGTATGAAATTGCAAAGTCATGCTAAGATATAGGAATACCAAGTTCACCATATTTCTTTTTCATCAAGTTCAGAAAATTAGAGGAATTACCATTCCAGGATCATCAGTCAGTGCATCCAGTACATCCTCAGAGCCATCTTTACCGGCTGCAATGTGAAGAGGTGTCAAACCTGCAGGGCCTGTGACATCAGGTCTGAACAGAAAGCCATCAGAATCACCATCAGGCTGATTGTAATCAGATCCTAATCGGTCTGAAACTTTCTCAGGAACATATCTCAAAAGGAGATCCACCAGAGGCCGACAATTTTTCCTCACGGCCCTGTGAAGGAGTCCCAACTCTGACAATGCAAGGTTCAGGGAAGGGTGCTCCCCTGAACCCACGGTTCCATCAAGCAGAATGTTTAATAGCTTCTTTACTACAGCACACCATTCACGGTCCATGGCGAATTCCATGAGCCATTTGAACCGTCTTAAAGGAAAAAGGTCTGTGTTAGGATCCAGGTGGCCTAGTCTAGAGTTTAATTGATTTCTGTGAAGAAGCCAACCAATTTCATTAACGAAATCCATGGCTTGGTTTTTGGCTTCCAGCTTTCCGGTCCGCACAGCATCTGCATCTGTCCCAGTCAATTCCAATGCATTTTCAAGCATTCGGATCTCCAAACAAACATCCTCTTCTGCAACTATAAAAGGAAAGAAACTGCTACTGAAACCATGATCTTCAATCTGGACAAGGTCAAGCAAACAATAAAATGAGCTTCCAGCAGACAAACTAGACTATGATCTATCTTCTCTGAACAACTGGCAGCAAGAGTCAGCATATGCACAGATATGATATAATAAACAAACCAGCTTAGAATTAGCATTTACCAGAAAACCAATCACCCAAACGAGAATAGAACTTGGCATATTGCCAGAATAAACTGAACACCATGTCCATTCATACAACACAGGAATTATATTTATTTAGCAAACAGGACAAATTAGGAGAAAACTAAGACAGAAATCACAGTATCGTATATGCATTAAGTACTATATGAAAAAAGTAGAATGATTGAAAATAAAAATAAAACAGGAAGATCAGAAGCAATTAATCTTCATCTTTTTTCTAATGTTTCTTCTGTTACAATTTATTATTGCCAATAAGAAATCAATAAAAAATTGAGGTAGCAGCTACTGCTCTTCAAACATCATATTCCAGTAGTCCAAATCAATGTAAGACATTTAGCATGAAAACATTTCCACTAATAAAGGGATAGTCAAAGAAAAATCAAACTCAAAGTTCACACCATCTATTTCACAGGCATGGTACCCAGGTTTCCTCATCCATACAAAGAAAATATTGTTTGTCAAACAGAAAAATTGTGAGCAGCACTGACAGCAGAAGCAAATAAACAGAATAGATGATCCACACTCATAGATAATTGCTCATAATATATGATGACAACAACAGCCTATGTTATGAGAATCAAAAGAAAACAGCACCTCAATAAATCCTCTTCCAGTCACTGTAGGGATTGAGCAAGAAAAGTTTACACACTGGAGCTCATCATGCTCCTTGAAGCTGTCAACATCATCCCTTACTTCGTCAGTAGTTTCCTGAACAATATACTTCCCTTCCACTGCACAGAGTAACCTGTAAAAAAGAGGCTTCAGGAATACAATAGGCTGTATAGAATATATAAATACAATAAAAATACAGGACACAAATCAAATCTAATTCATACACAGTTTTACAAACTGTCAAAGATGACACCAAAAAAAAAAAAATTAATTCTAATTTTGGACAACAGAGACCTTGTGGCTGGCCGAGCCAGGTTAACGCCTTTAACTAAAAATTGTGCCCTCTCTGATGCAGATATTGCAATCGGCTTGACGCTTAGAATTTGACTGTAGTTGTTACTTCTAAGAGGCAAGGATGTGTCTACAACAACCTGACCTGCAGCATTAAAAAAGTACTAATAATGAAAAAACTTCCATATGAAAGTGTAGCTAAACTTTCAATTTTAACATACTAATCATGTAAACTTTGAAAAAGCAAATATAAATAGACCATTGTAAATGAATGCTATCTGATGTTGCACTCTAACATAAACCCATCCAGTCGTCCAGAAAGAGTCATTTGAGAGTTCCAGAAGCCTACTCAAACTAAAAGTCAAATCACAACAAAGCTGCAAAAACCGCAAGTAATAGTTGTAAGATCAGTAATGTTGCCTCAGAAATAGAATATTAAGAAAAATGAAGTAAGGATATAGAAGGAAAAAACATTTCAATGTAAATGATTTCATCAAGAGAGCTTACTTCCTCCCAAGCAGCTTCAGCCTGACGAAGATAAACAGTCAGAATGACACAACCAGGCCTAATATAGCTCTCCATATCAGTAGGACTGTGAGAGAGCCAGTCAAGGATCTGCAAGTTGAAACATTTTAAATAACAACACTTCCTGAGATGGGAAACTTGGAAGAGTTGCACTCAACTACATTTACAGTTGAAGTACCTGTGCTCGCAGGACACGAGGAAAATCATTTGGTTCTTTCCCAAATAGCTTAAACACAATCCGATCTGTGCGGCTCTGAAATGGGCAAAGCAACAAAAATCACAAAACTTAATGGTGTTATATTCTACTCCAATCTACATGACTGCACATTAAGTTGCATGTTTACTTGCATCACATGTGAATCCAGCAAGTCTTCTATTACAGTGCATTATCGTTGATAATTTAGATAGGCAACTAACTTATGTGCATTCAGCTACATAATACCTGTGCATCTCCACTGGAACTAGAAGGTGACTGGGCCGATGCTGAATCTGAGTTCCCACTAGTCTGGGGGGGACTTGACTGTTGAGAGTCTTGTTGTACCCATGAAGGACAATCAAGGGAGCTACTCCCCGGATTTGCAGGGACAGGCGATCTCTCTACATCTTCTGTGCCATCATCTGAGTCAACATATATGTCATTCAAATCAAAATTATTCATTTTGATCCGCCCAGCAGCACCATTTTCAACTTCTGCACCCCTGGTTTTATGAGCACTTGGCCCTTGCTGTGGCATCTCCGATACAGGTACATTGAGATGTTGTCGGAAAGGCCTAGGAGGACCTTGACCATTTGCAATCATAGCTGAAACTACTTCTGAGTTCCCAACAGAAGCGCCATGATTCATCATACTTTGAGGTTCCTGCAAGAGCCCAGCTATGCTTCTTCCTCCATGTTCACCAGCAGGACCAGCAAGGCTCCTTAGAAGATGAGATAGCAGATCCTGATCTGTTTTCTGGTCTGATCTATTGGCTGCAGTTCAAGGTAAAATTTATTACAGGTCAGCAAAAAACAAACAACGAAATTGTTTCCATCTTTTCTGATCAAGGGCATAACACAAACAAGTTTTATTTCAATGTACAAATCTGCACTTCATTCAGAGAAAATGAGTTCAGGAAAAAATGTCTTCCTTTTCACATATTGTTTATGTATCTTCTTATGTAGGATATCACCAGCCATATTAGCCCATAAATGGTGCAATCAAGGTATAGGAAGAAAGAAGAAAAATCTAAGGTAAAATCAGGCTTCATTTTTGTCATGGGAAAAGCACAGAGTTACTCACAATGCATATTGGAAAGTATCCTTAAGAGACTTATCAACAGATAACCACTAGTCTGATCATCATTAAGTGAGCTTCCATTACTGACAGGATCCGGATTGGTTTTCCTCCTCCGTTTATTATGCCCTGCTAAACGCCTGCGGCAACTCCTCTTCCCCTCATCAAACTCTTGAAGGACATGAAATCTGCCAAAAAGTTCAACAAAATATCATTTACCACACCTTAAACCAAAAGTATGGACAAAATTCTGTTCATGTTTCATTTATTCTAGGCTCTAAATTGGCTGGATTGTATTCCAAATATTACCAAGGCAATGAGTTAGACAAGCACAAGTTCCATGACAAGATAAGAAGTTTATGATACAAAACTAATAATTCATGACACAAGAAACTCAGAAGTAAGTCCTCACCTACTACATTGCTGACAAAACCGCTGCATAACATTCCCCACAAGCGCCCTGCTGGCCTTGGAATGCATCTCACACACCTTGTGCCGCCTATGATAATCCTTGGCACTGCTCAGATCAGCCCCACAATCCTCCACCTGACAAACTGCACGGTTCGAAGAACCTGCACCAAATTTAGTTTTCTTCCCACTAGCTCCTTCCCAATTGCCCACCTCCCTCTCACAGACCGGAAAACCATTGCCGCCAAGTTTCAAACTAAGTCCACCTGCCGCCTCGTATGAATTATGATCATCAACTACAATAACCCTCCTTTTCTTCTCCAAGTCTCTCTTCCCCTTCTCAATTCCTTGAATCCCTTCATCCGAACATGACGATGAACTATTGGATGAATTTCCAGTGCCAAGTGGGAAAAATTGGCGGCCCACGTTATTATTAGGCACCGGATTCAATGGGCTGGCAATGAAAAGATCACCATCCCATTTCCAATCGTTCAAGTCCCATTCTAGAGTTCTTTTACCTACTGCCCGCAAATCCATGGAATTCATACCATAGAAATGATGATTTTCACCTCTAAATCTAGTCTCCATGTTGAAACTCAGATAATATAAATTGAAAGATCCCAATCCAGTAAGTGAGCTTAGAAATTAGAAAAAATCAGTACAAACCCCAGAAAAGTAAATCCAATTTGACCGACAGATCAGAGTTCAAAACCCCCAAAAACTAAACCCCTAATTTGATCTAATCAGCTTCACTTCTTCCCCAAAAGTCCAAAAACAGTACACCAACACATCCATGGTTCCAATTAAGAGCAACCCACATAACAGTGAATTAAAATTGACCACTAAACCCTTCAAAATCAGCTATAAAACCTCCCAAATCATTGAATTCCAACTTTGCACCACTGAGCTGTCCACATCCAATTGTTAGATTCATACACAACCTCAAAAGATAATAACAAAAAAAAAAAAAAAAAATGAAAATAAAATAAAACTAAACAGAATAAGTAAACTTGCCCGGATGTTAAGTAAGAAAAATGTCGCCGGAAAGAGGAGGAAATGTTAGGATTATGGGGATGTGAAAGTGTTAGCTTTTTGTGAGTGTATTTTCATTCTGTATGGTAATGGTAATGTTATGGTACACATTAACAGATTAAATTTAATCGACACAGTACAACCAACACAAATGGTGGGTCCTCTTTTCACACTGCGTGTCTCTCTCACACACTTGATAAAATAAAGATGCCTCGCTTTTTCCTCCCTTCTACTCCTAACTCCTTCCTTCCAAGTGTTATTTTCCGCTGCTTCGCGGACGTTGACTAATCACTTTCATTAGTAGATCAATTACTGATCTCTGGTATAGGAATAGTTGACTTCATGATAATGGTTGCTGTTTAAGAATGTTTGTAAACTGTAGGCTATAGTGAGATACAGAGAATCATAACCTTAGTCTTTTTTTAATTATTCGTGTTGATTATAACTGGCTCAAATAAATCCAACGTGCAATAACTGATAACAGATCCTTCCTATTATTACTCTTACTCTTAATCTCCCTGACCCTGACCGGTTTACTTGGATCACTGGATTTTACCCTTTCTTTTTGTGTTTTCTCTTCTCAAATCTAGGACAATAGTTTCCTTAAAATCAAATTTAATTCATTCTTTTAATAATATGAGAGTTATTTAATTTTTGTCTTGATTTGAGAGTGCATTTATGACATCAATGAACCCGAAAAGAAAACGTTTAAAATTAGAGACGGGATATAGAAACAAACAAAGAAAAAGGAGATTTGTTAGTATTGCTGCTGCACCGATTGAGTAGAAAATGTGGATGGATTCACTGCTTCTGCACCACCATCCAATAATGTCTGAAAGCAAACTAAACTAAACCAAAGAAAAACTGCCGGATCAATTAAACAAAATTAAGTTGTTGACTCTGAGGTTTCAAATAAACGCCCAGCTACTAGTCAGCCCAAACAGTCCGCCGGTAGCCCATCTTCTTAACCCGGTTAAACTAAGTTCGGGTTATTTTATCTAGAGTAAACGACATATTCTCATCCAAGGTTTGACAAAACCCCAAGTTGGTATCCTATATTATATTTATTCTAAATTCTCACTCTTAAAATAACAGTGTTAGCAATTTTTAGGGTTTAGAGGGTGCAATTATCATAATGCCCTTAACCCTAAAATAATAATTTATGTTTTAACCCCTAAATTAGTAGAACTATAAACTTACCATTTTATTTTCAAATTATGTCAAAAGCACCCTTGGTCACTGCACACCCTCATTGGAAACAACCTGATCTAGGCTGTTTCCGACAGCTTCGAACCCCCTGGTCATTTCCATCACCTTCCCCGTAGTCCGTTGTCCAAAACCCCTCTGGTTCCTGACTCATTGGCCCCTCCAATCGCTGACGTTGTTAGGCTTAGGGTTTCGCTATTCTTCGCCGATGTCATTAGGCTTAGGGTTAATAATTTGTGATCAATAATATCAAATCTGGAGTTTTTATTTGATTGCAACCAACAAAATCTATAAAACATGTTCACAGGAATCATATTGTCTGAGCTAGAATATATTTTAAGTTTCTTGTCAGGTTTTATAGATTTGGAGACAGTGGTCGCAGTGGTGGTGTCCAATTGGATTTTCGCAGCCGGAATCCGACGAAGAACAACAGAATCCTAAGCCTAACGATGCCGGCGATTGGAAAGGCTAATGAGTCGGGAACCAGTGGGGTTTTGGACGACGGACTACAGGGAAGGTGATGGAGGCGACCAGGGGGTTCGACGCCGTCGTGACCGATGGTGTTTTTGACATAATTTAAAAATAAAATGGTAAGTTATAATTCTACTAATTTAGGGGTTAAAACATAATCTATTAATTTAGAGTTAAGGGCATTATGGTAATTGCATCCTCTAAACCCTAAAAATTGCTAACACTGTTATTTTAAAGGTAGGAATCTGGAATAAATGTAACCTGGGATACCAACTTGGGATTTCGTCAAATCTTGGGTGGGAATATGTCATTTACTCTTTTATCTAATCTCAAAGGAAAAAAAAAATTAAAGAATAAGAGCACCAATTTCGGGGTTGCGTAATTGGATTTGTAATGTTGTACTAAATCTCATGGAAAAAGCAAGCTAAAAGAAGCAAATGGCATGACAACTCAATATTCACATCACATGGACACAATATATGGACAGCCGAACAGGCTACCTTAGCATTCATGGACCACATAAAAATATTGCTCACTGTTAATGACTACTGAAATTTGCTTATATTAGCTCATTGTCATATCAATACAAGGCTTGCTAAACAGAAAGTGAATGAAAATTTGAAGAAAATGAGGAATTCGAGAGCTTACTCCATTGAAGGTATATTCGTACAATACCAGTTTTGGAGAGGAGGTTCTTCAATGATCAGGAATTTTACTTGTTATAGCATACTTTTTTCACACATAACTTAATTTTGTTAGCATAATAACAACCCAATAAAAAGGATAGCTGAAATTTTATTTAATAGAATGTGGATTGGTAAGTTTGTCACTAAAATGGCGTTAATGAGTGGTTGAAGCACAATATTATATGGCTGTTTACTGAATCAAACTAAATAGTTGACCAAAAAAGTAACTTCTACTTCTAGTACTTGTTTTATCATATTCAATGTTGAATTGCCTGTTCAAATTCAACACTTGAGAGCCGTATTAGTTCATCTGCGGTTGTTCAATTTGAAGTTCTAGATAGGCCATTGTACCAAACAAGTTAGTGGTGATATGAAAAGCTAAAAAAATAAAATTTTATTCCTTTCTTAATGTACTTTTTTCCGGTTTTCCTTTTCCCAGGGGCGGGTTATATGTAGGTAGTGGGCACATGAGCCCACAAATCCAACCAAGAGATGCATCGTCCTCTAATTATCTCCAGCCTGTCCATTATTATTTCCATTTTGTTATGTGTATAACCACCCACATTGAGTCCCTCAAACCCACAACTCTTTTTGGTTAACAAACTAAAGTTACTTGGAATTACAGTAATAAATGAAATTTGTTTTGATGAAAGCCTTTTATCATTTAAAAAACAGTTAGCTCACTCTTTTCACTGCAACTGCAGTTTTATTTTAATTCTTTTAGAGCCCCTCCAACCTGACAACCATCTCTCATTATAATCAAAACTAATAAGACTAATCATATACCCAGACAAGAAACTTAAAATATATTCTAGCTCAGACAATATGATTCCTGTGAACATGTTTTATAGATTTTGTTGGTTGCAATCAAATACAAACTCCAGTTCTGATATTATTGATCACAAATTATTAACCCACTTGGAATTGGAAGATCAAGAGTTAATTGCACAATTTCACTGTCCTATGATTTTACCCACATCGACCATTTTATTAGAGATGATTTTCTAATAATTTTAAGGTACATCAACACTGAATATGTCAACTTTTCTTATTGGGCTACGTAACTGTTCACATTGGCCCATGGAGGGGAGTTGTATATCAAATCAAATACCCAGTAAGATTGAATTTGAAACACAGAAATTATGCGACTTTAGAATCCATATAGGCCGAGAGATGCGACATCTTATACGTACTGTACAATAACTATTTGGTTTTATTATTAAGATGTACCATTAATTTTAAGCCCAACAGTGGTCCAATTTCATCTCCGTCGTACGTCTAGACCCAGTCTATCGGGTCTTTCTTACATTTTGACTTGACCATTGTCTAATTTTTGTGTCTGCGATGAAATAACCGAGTCATACTCATACAGGATCTAACTGGTCGCACCTAAACCCTTTCAAAGTCTCAAAATCAATTAATTTATATTCACTGCTTATAAACCCATTTAATGTGATTGTTAAACTTACATCTTTAATAAATTACATTTAATTCTAATACTTGCCTACGCATCATCACAATTAATAGTTTCTAAAAGATTTCCATTGACATTAATGGGTATCTGTTAAATTAACAAGAGTTATAAAATAAAAAATATAAAAAAAGACTTTACCAACTGAAAAGTAAATTGGACAGCAGGAACTCGTGCATACATACAGAAGATCAAATTTTGGAATTTACCTAGAAATAGAAGATTTACAAATAAAAGTAAACGGTAAATTTTTTTTTTTTAAAAAGGGACGTATTCAACCGCACACGAGCTGACCTGGCTCTACTAGATTAAGGTTGCTTTAAAGGGAGGAGTATTTTTTATTCTATGACTTTAGTGTAGCTAAGCCAATAATACATCGCCACCTAATCAACTACGGTGGACTCCAGCACCTCCAATTACAGCTCTATTTCAAAAACCAACTGATAGCAGTCAAGTCTGGTGGCAAGCACAGCTGAACAAGAAATGTAATAAACAAATATATAAATAGTAACAAAATTCCATTTAATAAATTTCTATTCAGGAACTAACGTCAAACAACACCAAAGTCAAGAGCCTGAATACATTTCTTCATCCTACGCACCCTTCTTCCCCTTATCCTGCGCACCTCTCGCCGGCCCCGTAGATCCACTTGCTCACTTTCTCTTGAGAGATATTTATTCAACTTTACAGCTCTTGCTTGCTGCTTATTTTAACTGATGTACGGATCTATCTTCTCAACTCTTTCTTTTTCATTTTTGCTATTATTTTTAACAACATTCATGTGATCAATCTTAAATTGACGAGTAATCTCAGAAAATTTTTAGCTTAAATTGTTAGGTGAATAATATTTTATTTTTTCTAAAGAAATGTAATGTTGTTTTGTTCACTTGTGACTGTAACTGAATTATAAGTTTTTACTGCCTGTGATTGGTGAATTTTGACGTTTATTTGATTTAAGATGCTTTGTTAAGTGGTTGTTGGTTCGATCTAGAAATTTGATTGGCGAACGTTATGGATTGAAGTAGATTGAGGGCGTGAACAGTGCTCTGGTGTGCAATTTTTTTTTAACCATCACTTGTTATTCTATCACTAGCTTGATGCGGTCCACTTTTATGCAATTTGTGTAATTCACAATTTCTGTTGCTAAGATTTTACGAAACTTCATTTTGATATGGATATCGACATGTTAGTCTTTTTATTTGACGGCTTGTTTTGGAGTCCGTAAGATTTTGTGTGAGAATTTGTTCTATACTCAAATGGTAGCCATTGACTCACTTGGTAGCATTTCTTGAATTTATAATATTGATCTGCTGATTCCATGCATTTTGATTGGATGATCGAGTTCCTCTTCGGTCGAGGAAGTGGGAAAGTTTAGTTTAAAAAGCGTGAAATGGTTGATATCTATGTGTCCAATATGTCTTATCTTATTCTACCACTTAAATACGATAAAAAGTTATAGTGGCTTTTTCTTATCTAAAATAGATTAATTATTTTGGAATCAGAAAGGGGCATTCTTGAGGGATTGAATCATGAGTTGCTTCAGCTGTTGTGAAGAAGATGATATGCATAAAGCTGCTGACAATGGAAACCCATACATGGCAAAAAATTCGGCAGGTAATATTGTGGTCCTGATCACTTGAAGGATGATATATTTGATTGGAAGTAATGAATTAGATTTTCTTTTCGTTTTTCTGTGGGTGGGTGGGCAGGCACTGGTGGGAATAGGGAAGGCTTGTTATTAGCAATATTATTACCTTTGCAATTTGATTGGTGTAATCTTAGTTTAATTTCAATTCAATACACAGGAACTGATGGAGGTTATCCTGCATCAGAAGCAGCACCCAGGGGTGCTCAAACTGTGAAAGTCCAGCCTATAGAAGTCCCTGCTATTTCAGTGGAGGAACTGAAGGAAGTTACTGAAAACTTTGAAACAAATGCTTTGATTGGAGAAGGTTCATATGGAAGAGTATATTATGGGGTTCTTAAAAGTGGGCAAGCAGCAGCAATAAAAAAGTTAGATGCCAGCAAGCAACCTGATGAGGAATTTTTAGCCCAGGTTTAGTTGGCAACTGGAACTAATAATATTTACTAAATATGTCATGGTATTACATTATTTGTTCAGACTACATACTAATTGATGTATAAAATCACAGGTTTCCATGGTATCAAGGTTAAAGCATGAAAACTTTGTTCAATTGCTTGGTTACTGTGTTGATGGAAATTCACGTGTACTTGCCTATGAGTTTGCATCTAATGGATCTCTTCATGATATTCTTCATGGTATGTGCGATGATGCTTCTGTTGTCCAAGTTGAAAGGATATCAGATATTTAATGTTTCTTGCTGTTAGATCTTGGTTGATTCTCTGGTTAACTTGATGTGGTTAATGATTGTTTATTCATGAAAGAAAAAGTGACATGCTAGAAATATGGAAAATTCCTGGTGTTGTTTAATGACTCAGAATCAGTTATAGTTCTCAGTTCTGATAAACACAGATCCATGATGTGAGACAAATTGATGGCTGATATGTTTGCAATTTCTGATTATATGGCAACAACTTTTTATTATTTGGGTTGCACTATGGCATGGCCTCACAAAACTTCGTAAAAGTATTCAGATATTATGTTCTGTGGACAAACAATTCCAGCTTGAATTTTGTGGCATATGATTGGTCTTTAGTTTGTGCTGTAGATGTCAAACTGTGACTTTCAAAATAATCTGCCTACAGTTGAAATTTTTCTTATTTGTTTCATGTTTATCAGTCAATCTGTGTGGCAAAAGTGATCTAGGAGATATCACTACTGCACAAAGATAATTCATAATGCTTGAATAACTTAAATGATCCACACCCCTGGTCCCTTAAACACAAAGAATTGTACTTGATTATTAATATTACTGTTTTTTTATTTTAATTTATTTTTTATTGCAGGAAGGAAAGGTGTTAAAGGAGCTCAGCCTGGCCCCGTTTTGTCATGGCAACAGCGAGTAAAAATTGCTGTAGGCGCTGCAAAAGGGCTTGAATACTTACATGAAAAGGCAGACCCTCACATCATCCATCGTGATATTAAGTCCAGCAATGTACTAATTTTTGATGATGATGTTGCGAAGATTGCAGACTTTGATTTGTCCAATCAAGCCCCTGATATGGCAGCACGCCTTCATTCCACTCGTGTTCTTGGAACTTTTGGTTATCATGCACCTGAGTAAGCTATCTAATACTTTTGTGGCAGTCATATTATGTCTATGCTTAACTGTTGTTTAACTTATGGCTAAGAGCGAATAATATGGGATAACTGTCTGAGCTTTTGTTTGCCAATTATGTTTGGAATTGCAATTTGGCATCTAAATACTTTAAATACAGTGAAGCTTTATTTAATTGCTAAGATATTTTCAAAACTTGAATTTTACATACTGCCGAAGTACATATGCCATAAGACTCCCACTTAGCCTCTAATCCATAGTATCTTTGAGAATCAAACTGAGCTCAAGTTAAACTACAAAAATTACTTATCATTTAAAAAGTTTCATGTGAGAATGTTTTAACTTGAGAATTATCATCTTGTGCTTGTGGTGACAGATATGCAATGACTGGACAGTTGAATGCTAAGAGTGATGTGTACAGCTTTGGTGTTGTCCTGCTTGAGCTTCTAACAGGGCGAAAACCTGTTGATCATACGTTGCCACGTGGACAGCAGAGTCTAGTGACATGGGTACTAAATTTATGTCTTTTTAATCTTGTTTCATGCTGTTGTGCTCTGGTTTCAAGCTCTGAGCTCTGAGACACAACTATTTTCTTTTTCACTCTGAACTTTAATGATTAGTGAAATTTTTTGGTTTATGTTTAGGCTACACCAAAACTTAGTGAGGACAAAGTTAGGCAGTGTGTTGATGCAAGACTAGGAGGTGATTACCCTCCAAAGGCAGTTGCAAAGGTACTTATTCTGCTTCTTTCTTTTCATTCCCCTTTCTTGGTCGAGGGTGCATATATATATATATATATATATATTCAGCTGCTGTGAGACAGAGTTATTAACCTGTAAAACATCCAATAATTTATGCTTTTATTTTATCTGGTTACAGATGGCTGCAGTTGCTGCCCTGTGTGTGCAATATGAAGCTGATTTTCGGCCAAATATGAGCATTGTTGTCAAAGCACTCCAGCCCCTGTTAAATGCTCGGCCCGGACATGCTGGTGAATCAGCACATTAATGACTCTTTCTCTCTCTTTCTAGTGTCCGTGTGCAAGAGTGCACACATGCAATGCAAGATTGGAAAATATGACAAAGGGATTGTTTAAGGAGGCGGTGATAAATTGTTTGTCGAGGTTCTATATGCTTCAATTATATATGGTGTATTTGATTTGTTCATAATGGGTGAATTTGTTTATTTCTCACACTACCTAGCATTTTTCTTAATTATTATTTTTGGCTTCAGCTTCTATTGTTTTCTTTATCCATATAATTATCCCATGTTAATGTAAATTTATTATTCATGATTTTCTTGTTTTTGGCCGAAGCTAGTCTTTTGTTGGAAATGAGATTTGTCAAGTGAATTGAATTTCACTTCTCTCATTATTTTCTTCCAAGATCCTTACCTGATGCTAGCAAAAAGCATATATTGACATAAAAAAGGAGGAAAAAAAGAAAGAAGCAAAAAGCCGTGAAATTCCATTTTTTTTGTAATAGTTAAATTTGAAGCGCTACTTCTAATTCTTGAGACTGGATGTAATTTCAGATACGCGGTGGAAATTCCACCGGTCCTCCTTTACTAAGTGGTATTAATGGTTCATCATAACATGCAGAATAATCCCCAATAAAATTAAAAAAAACCAGAGGGTTAATGTAAATAAATAGCCAACGGAGCTCATTGAAGCAACTCTTGTGAGATATGGTAATTCACAGCCTATACTAGACTTCATACTTAAAATTTCATGATCTTTGATTCAGTATAACAGTGAGTAAACTCTGAAAGAATAATACTGAGTCACGTTCTCTTTTAAAATACAGTAATTATTATCTTGACATAAATTTTGTCCGATAGGTTTTTCGAGTGAGCCGCAATTATCGGAACTTTTCGTCTTTTTATACGCCTACTTGCTTGGGTTGCCTTCATCTCCTTTTCAATTATTTCTTTATATCATCTTTACTTTGCCTTTTGTCAAATTTCCCTTTGAAGTGATGCAGCTCGTACTTCTAAATTCTAATTAAGGTTTCAGCCAAAATTAAGATCGTTTTATGCACTTACAAAATTTCCCAACATCACATGAAAAATTGTCTTGGCTTAGTAGATTACTTAACATGTTGCTTTGAGAGTAAACAATTTATGTTCTGGAATTGAGTTTTCTTATTTGATTCGTTCAGAACAGTATGTCATATTCTAACAATTTAAGACGCAACTTTGAGGTTGACAGATTTGTCTTTTAAGCATAATGATTTTATACAGCAGGCTGGGAGATACTGCTGATTTGCTTATCTTTGTGGACTTTCAAAGCTCTTAAGTTTATAATATATTTGCTAGTTCCTATCAACAACTTAGGTTGTGCTCTAGAAAATCAACAACTACCTAAGAATACACTATAATTTATATTGTACAAGTGCTGGAGGCAACATTCATCACAGCTGTCTCTTGTGGCTTTGACAAATTAAGATGTGATTTGTTTTTCAACGAGCAGTTGTTTGTCAAAGAACATAACCAATTTAACTATAATTTTCACACTTTGAATGATTTTGCACGCATCTGAATTTGTGTGCTGGTCAGGGATTATCCTTTCAGTGGCTAAAGTATTTCATGTTAAACTAGAGGAGATCCAACCGCACAACAGGTGAAACGAAAACAAAAAGTGCTTTTTCGGTACATGGGGCAGAGGAAAATTGCCGAGGACATGATTCCTGAGAATTAGTCTTTCTTTGTGGACCCTGTCGCTACTCATTCGTAGCTTCCAGGAAATGCCCAACAAAGAAGTTCCAGTGATTAGGACAAAAAACTGGATATCCTTTTTCGAATTCTCTCTGTGATCTAGCCTTGAATTTTCAACTTTATTAATTCATCAAACAGGAGCAGTATGAGTATAATGTATGACCATCCTAACCTTATTGCTGTTCTTTTAAAAGATTGGATACTGATTGCCTTTCCAACTATAACATTTTCTGAGGCAACGATTATTGGACTAAACGTAAGTGGCTGCATGATACGTACATAAAATCTGTTAATCGTTTAATTGATATTTTATTGTACATGCTAGAATCGGTTTCTTCTTTCTTCACTTTATGTGGTTATGTGATTTTGTAATGTCATGACCAGGGTATCTCAAATTCCTTCACAAAGGCTTCCTTGATAGAGCAGCAAAGGTGTTATATTCTTCTTCTAATCTTTTTAAGTTGATAAGAAAGAATATTAATTGTAATTTGGAAAAGAGAGGCAAGGAAACATCCTCAGAAATTGAACAATTCTCCTGTCGTATTACCATCAGTTTCAACAAACAATTTCCTTAATGATAGGAATCCCTCCTGTGGAATATACCTGTGAAAGAATGGAAGGGTGGTTCTTCTTTTGACTTAAGAGGGAGATGAGAAAGCATCTCTAGTTCCTTCTTGGGTGAAGGCTCCGCTTATAAAGAAACAAATCCGTAAAGAACGACAGAGTGTATCCCCATTCTTTCTTGTATTATATATGTATTAACTTTTCGGTTAAGCAACTTTGTATTAGAAGCTATAGTGTATAGGGATTTCAATTGGAAAAGCTGAGTTTTAGACTAAAAAATTGTACATAATAGTAGCCGTACTCGTAGAGGAATGATGGATTGTTTTTGTTTCTCAAAGACTGTTGATCTTTACAATGAAATGCTTGTCAAAGTGTTGGTGGATTCTCTACCTCTTTGTTTTGTTTTTTTTTTTTTTTTCTTGCTTAGGAAGAAATTCCCTGACCAACAAAGATTACTTTACAGATGGAAAGGTTAATATGGACAATGTCAAAAGTGCTTGAAAACGTTTAGCAGTAAAAATTATTATTAGCTTTATTCTATGTTACAGTATTTTCTTTTAGTCACCTCCAATACTTTATAAAAAGGTTGAAGTTGAATGGGCAATTTTTAAAGCGCAGACGCAGAGTCAGGAAAGCAAATATCTTCCATATACATACGCGTATTTACAAAACAAGATTAATTTCTAATTAATTAATCATTATGTATTCTAATCCAATGGTTTGATTGAAGGAGATTAAAATTATATCCTTATAATTATTGTATGATTTTCTTTAATAATAAAAATAAAAATAAAAATACAATATATAGAGGAAGTAAAATTCCATATGAAGCCTAATTTGAAGCGGGCTTGATCAACAAGTTGAGGTGTAAAATGATATTTTCGAAAATGAAAAACCAATGAAATGAGGTCAAGTATAGTCTCCCATCCTAGCCCACTCCGCACGTTTAAATTACTCTTGTTCTATACGGTATACAGTACACAACACTACAATCATTCTTAGTGTTCCAAAATACCCCTGTTTTTCAAAGAATACTAAAACATATCGAGGGTTAAAATTGTAACTCAAACAATATCCTTTCCACTTCTACATATAAGCAGCCTCCGACGAAATCACACGCTCCCAGTAGTTGAAGCAATAAACACATCCTAAAAGTCCAAAACCAAGAAACAAAAAAGCATACCCAAGTTCATGCTATCTTACGCGTAAGCACCACTATCGTGCGCCAAACAGATGGGAGGAGATGTGAACGGAACTTCCGGCACCGCAGCGGCGGCGCCAACTCCGTCGTTGGCGGAGCCACAGTACGTCACTGCTAAGACGTCGGTGTGGTGGGACATAGAGAACTGTCAGGTCCCAAAGAACTGAGATCCGCACACGATCGCGCAGAACATAAGTTCGGCCTTAGTTAAGATGAACTACTGTGGACCCGTCTCTATCTCCGCCTACGGTGACACTAATCGCATCCCCGCGTCTGTCCAGCACGCGCTCTCCAGCACTGGCATCGCTCTCAATCACGTTCCTGCCGGTACTTTTATTTATAACTCTCTCAAACTTTTGATACCCTAAACCTTTTCTTTTCATGCAGATATATTTTTTATTTTTCGCTGAATTTTAACTTTGATGTGTATATTTTCTACTAAAGATTTGATTTCTTGATCCATCGATCGATAAACGAATTTCTTTTTGTTTTAATTTTTTTTTTTTTTTAGCCTTTATAGCATTTAATTTTAGTCAGTCTTTTCGCTTTTTAGACCTTATCTGTACTGTGTTAATTTTTTGTCATATCCTCTTGTATGTAAATATGATGTAAAATATGTTGTAGAGGGCAAGAAATGGAAATATGTGGTTGTTGAATGTTATAAATGACATTTTTAAGTAATGAACAAAACAGGTGTTAAAGATGCGAGTGACAAGAAGATTTTAGTAGAAATGCTGTTTTGGGCAGTGGACAACCCTGCTCCCTCGAATTACCTGCTGATTTCGGGGGATAGAGATTTTTCTAATGCTCTCCATCAGTTGCGAATGAGGAGGTATAATATTCTCTTAGCGCAGCCACAGAAGGCATCAGCGCCATTAATTGCAGCAGCGAAGAGTGTATGGCTTTGGACAAGCCTTTTAGCGGGAGGTTCTCCTCTTTCAAATGGTGAATCTTCACTACTTGCTAATGGTTTTAGTACCTTTAACCCTGAAACACCGTACACCCCGGTTTCTGAACCAGCTCAAGTGACCCAACCGATGGCTTTTAGCTCAAATACATCAAGGGTTGGTGAAGCAAAATATAAGGGGAAGTTTGTGCGCAAGACCCCAAATCAGCCTAGTGTATCACGAACCTCAAGTGTGCCAGTCATGATTCAAGAAAGTAAGAACAATGATTACTCTTATCAGTTGGAACATACACAAGCAAAGCAGTTTAAGAAAGCCCCACATGAGTTCTTTGGTGGCACCGGTGAACCTGTTGTCTCTGCAAGTAGGTCTACTCCCAATTTTTTCCCTAGCAATCCCGATCCTTCAGGGAGTAATGGAAATAATTTCATAGGCAATTTTCAGAACCATTATCCTCACTCTTTGAGACCAAATAACTTCCCTATGCAACCACCTTTTGCGCAGGATAATTTTCTACCTCCTATTTCTCAAAATCATGGTTTTCGTGCTGTGCCTCCTGGCTCTAATGGCCCTAGGTTCCCTACAGCTCCACTCACAAATGTGCCTGATATTGGTAAATTGAGTGTGTCTGAATACCCCAACTATGCTCAAAATCATCCTAATTTCCGTCCTCAAAGTGGAGAAGAATTTAAAACTAGCTATGTTGAATCTCCAAATCCACCAGGCCTTAGTGTACCACTGAAAAGCCATGTTGTGCAAAGTGGCCAGTCGATTCATCGTGATACTCTAAACAATAGGTATCCCCATGGTCCTGAAGTTCCATCTTTATCATCATCCTCAATTACTACTCCTGCTTCTAGTAATGGTACCTGGGGAACTCAAGGACGTGCACCACCTGAATATGTTCAAGGCCTTATTGGGGTTATCTTACTTGCCTTAAACACCCTGAAAACTGAGAAAATTATGCCTACGGAAGGAAACATAACTGATTGCATTCGTTATGGCGATCCAAAACACCGCAATACCGATGTAAGAAAAGCTTTGAATAGTGCAATGGAGCAAAATATGGTAGTGAAACAGAACATAGGTCAATTGCAGTTGTATGTTCGTAAAAATGACAAACTATGGAAGTGTGTGAACCCTATAAGTGGTAATCCTAATCAATACCCAAAAGAAACATGGGATGGAATACAAAAGTTCTTATCTTCCTCAGCTGGAAGATCGGCAATGATGGCTTCTCAATGCAGGTAATTCTAGTGGTTGTTTGGCTCCTTTAACTTGCATTCTAATCTTTTTGAGAAAATTATTTGCCTACCCAGTTTCATCTAACTTTACAGGTATGAAGCAGCTTTGTCCCTTAAAACAGCATGCTTGGAAGAACTTGCTCTTGGTGATGTGCTTCAGATCTTGAATATGGTAATAACCATGAAAAAATGGATTGTTCATCATCATTCTGGATGGTTACCAATTACTATTACCCTTCCCGAGACAAAAAGTGAAACTGGTAGTGAAACCAGTGCTTGATCAAACTAAAATCAGTTTGGTACTGAGAAGTGGCCCAAGTAAGTGGTCATAGTTGCTACATACTAAATTCGAGACATGGGCATGGGCCACTTAGAATTACAATCATAAGTGTCTAAAAGTCATGGTGAATGGGAACGTGTAGATCATGAATCAAGTAAGTAGTTTTAGGTTATTCTCTCCCTCTCTCCCCCTCTCTCTCTCCCTATCTCTTTTTCTTTTCTTTTTTAAATCTTGTTTGGTGGGAAACTCTGATGGGCGTATGTGGATAGAAGGAAAGCCGCTTATGGGTTTGGACAAGTATAATCCAGTATTGAATTTTTCTGTGGCAGAGTTTGCAGTAGTAAGTTGCATTACGTGGAGTTTATCCATTATAGAAATTCCCTGACCAACAAAGATTACTTTACAGATGGAAAGGTTAATATGGACAATGTCAAAAGTGCTTGAAAACGTTTAGCAGTAAAAATTATTATTAGCTTTATTCTATGTTACAGTATTTTCTTTTAGTCACCTCCAATACTTTATAAAAAGGTTGAAGTTGAATGGGCAATTTTTAAAGCGCAGACGCAGAGTCAGGAAAGCAAATATCTTCCATATACATACGCGTATTTACAAAACAAGATTAATTTCTAATTAATTAATCATTATGTATTCTAATCCAATGGTTTGATTGAAGGAGATTAAAATTATATCCTTATAATTATTGTATGATTTTCTTTAATAATAAAAATAAAAATAAAAATACAATATATAGAGGAAGTAAAACTCCATATGAAGCCTAATTTGAAGTGGGCTTGATCAACAAGTTAAGGTGTAAAATGATATTTTCGAAAATGAAAAACCAATGAAATGAGGTCAAGTATAGTCTCCCATCCTAGCCCACTCCGCACGTTTAAATTACTCTTGTTCTATACGGTATACAGTACACAACACTACAATCATTCTTAGTGTTCCAAAATACCCCTGTTTTTCAAAGAATACTAAAACATATCGAGGGTTAAAATTGTAACTCAGACAATATCCTTTCCACTTCTACATATAAGCAGCCTCCGACGAAATCACACGCTCTCAGAGTAGTTGAAGCAATAAACACATCCTAAAAGTCCAAAACCAAGAAACAAAAAAGCATACCCAAGTTCATGCTATCTTACGCGTAAGCACCACTATCGTGCGCCAAACAGATGGGAGGAGATGTGAACGGAACTTCCGGCACCGCAGCGGCGGCGCCAACTCCGTCGTTGGCGGAGCCACAGTACGTCACTGCTAAGACGTCGGTGTGGTGGGACATAGAGAACTGTCAGGTCCCAAAGAACTGCGATCCGCACACGATCGCGCAGAACATAAGTTCGGCCTTAGTTAAGATGAACTACTGTGGACCCGTCTCTATCTCCGCCTACGGTGACACTAATCGCATCCCCGCGTCTGTCCAGCACGCGCTCTCCAGCACTGGCATCGCTCTCAATCACGTTCCTGCCGGTACTTTTATTTATAACTCTCTCAAACTTTTGATACCCTAAACCTTTTCTTTTCATGCAGATATATTTTTTATTTTTCGCTGAATTTTAACTTTGATGTGTATATTTTCTACTAAAGATTTGATTTCTTGATCCATCGATCGATAAACGAATTTCTTTTTGTTTTAATTTTTTTTTTTTTTTAGCCTTTATAGCATTTAATTTTAGTCAGTCTTTTCGCTTTTTAGACCTTATCTGTACTGTGTTAATTTTTTGTCATATCCTCTTGTATGTAAATATGATGTAAAATATGTTGTAGAGGGCAAGAAATGGAAATATGTGGTTGTTGAATGTTATAAATGACATTTTTAAGTAATGAACAAAACAGGTGTTAAAGATGCGAGTGACAAGAAGATTTTAGTAGACATGCTGTTTTGGGCAGTGGACAACCCTGCTCCCTCGAATTACCTGCTGATTTCGGGGGATAGAGATTTTTCTAATGCTCTCCATCAGTTGCGAATGAGGAGGTATAATATTCTCTTAGCGCAGCCACAGAAGGCATCAGCGCCATTAATTGCAGCAGCGAAGAGTGTATGGCTTTGGACAAGCCTTTTAGCGGGAGGTTCTCCTCTTTCAAATGGTGAATCTTCACTACTTGCTAATGGTTTTAGTACCTTTAACCCTGAAACACCGTACACCCCGGTTTCTGAACCAGCTCAAGTGACCCAACCGATGGCTTTTAGCTCAAATACATCAAGGGTTGGTGAAGCAAAATATAAGGGGAAGTTTGTGCGCAAGACCCCAAATCAGCCTAGTGTATCACGAACCTCAAGTGTGCCAGTCATGATTCAAGAAAGTAAGAACAATGATTACTCTTATCAGTTGGAACATACACAAGCAAAGCAGTTTAAGAAAGCCCCACATGAGTTCTTTGGTGGCACCGGTGAACCTGTTGTCTCTGCAAGTAGGTCTACTCCCAATTTTTTCCCTAGCAATCCCGATCCTTCAGGGAGTAATGGAAATAATTTCATAGGCAATTTTCAGAACCATTATCCTCACTCTTTGAGACCAAATAACTTCCCTATGCAACCACCTTTTGCGCAGGATAATTTTCTACCTCCTATTTCTCAAAATCATGGTTTTCGTGCTGTGCCTCCTGGCTCTAATGGCCCTAGGTTCCCTACAGCTCCACTCACAAATGTGCCTGATATTGGTAAATTGAGTGTGTCTGAATACCCCAACTATGCTCAAAATCATCCTAATTTCCGTCCTCAAAGTGGAGAAGAATTTAAAACTAGCTATGTTGAATCTCCAAATCCACCAGGCCTTAGTGTACCACTGAAAAGCCATGTTGTGCAAAGTGGCCAGTCGATTCATCGTGATACTCTAAACAATAGGTATCCCCATGGTCCTGAAGTTCCATCTTTATCATCATCCTCAATTACTACTCCTGCTTCTAGTAATGGTACCTGGGGAACTCAAGGACGTGCACCACCTGAATATGTTCAAGGCCTTATTGGGGTTATCTTACTTGCCTTAAACACCCTGAAAACTGAGAAAATTATGCCTACGGAAGGAAACATAACTGATTGCATTCGTTATGGCGATCCAAAACACCGCAATACCGATGTAAGAAAAGCTTTGAATAGTGCAATGGAGCAAAATATGGTAGTGAAACAGAACATAGGTCAATTGCAGTTGTATGTTCGTAAAAATGACAAACTATGGAAGTGTGTGAACCCTATAAGTGGTAATCCTAATCAATACCCAAAAGAAACATGGGATGGAATACAAAAGTTCTTATCTTCCTCAGCTGGAAGATCGGCAATGATGGCTTCTCAATGCAGGTAATTCTAGTGGTTGTTTGGCTCCTTTAACTTGCATTCTAATCTTTTTGAGAAAATTATTTGCCTACCCAGTTTCATCTAACTTTACAGGTATGAAGCAGCTTTGTCCCTTAAAACAGCATGCTTGGAAGAACTTGCTCTTGGTGATGTGCTTCAGATCTTGAATATGGTAATAACCATGAAAAAATGGATTGTTCATCATCATTCTGGATGGTTACCAATTACTATTACCCTTCCCGAGACAAAAAGTGAAACTGGTAGTGAAACCAGTGCTTGATCAAACTAAAATCAGTTTGGTACTGAGAAGTGGCCCAAGTAAGTGGTCATAGTTGCTACATACTAAATTCGAGACATGGGCATGGGCCACTTAGAATTACAATCATAAGTGTCTAAAAGTCATGGTGAATGGGAACGTGTAGATCATGAATCAAGTAAGTAGTTTTAGGTTATTCTCTCCCTCTCTCCCCCTCTCTCTCTCCCTCTCTCTTTTTCTTTTCTTTTTTAAATCTTGTTTGGTGGGAAACTCTGATGGGCGTATGTGGATAGAAGGAAAGCCGCTTATGGGTTTGGACAAGTATAATCCAGTATTGAATTTTTCTGTGGCAGAGTTTGCAGTAGTAAGTTGCATTACGTGGAGTTTATCCATTATGGCCCTTCATTTTACATTTGTGGAAATTGCATAAAAAGAATTAAGCTAAAGCCTTATTTTTCCACAGTAGCTTGTGTTAAGAATATTACTGCTAGTAAATGTTGGAGATCTTCTGTTTGAACTCTTATATTTAGAAGGAAATGATGCAGCCACTGTTACCATGGTTAGTTCGAATTATGTACCATCTGCGGTGTGGCAAAACATTATTATGTTTTGCTGTATTGATATGTGAAACAACTTGCATGGATACAAATTTTGTTGAAGACGGTTCAAAACTGAGACTTATGGATACTTGACGGTTCATTTGGTGTATGGGAACAAAGTTAACAGTGGAAAAGATTGAAGCAAGCCTACGATGATATTAGTGAAGCTCTTGAAGTATGCTCATGGGAGAAAGATGTTCTATTTCAATCAACCTACCTCTTGGTGATGCCTGTTGAAGATATATGACTGAGTGTGTTATCCATTGCTATTTATGCAAAGTACATGCTTGATTTCTGGGTCATGGAGGCAAATGTCATTACTAAATTCCTACTGTAGTAGTGGAAGATGTTAGCTGAAACTTCATATTGATATTTCTGCTTGATTTCAATTGGCTGTATCCTTAATCTAAGGGTAAATAAAAAAATTCCTGAGTGACTGCAGATATTATAAATATGAACTGTTTGTTTTGTAATTTGAGTTTGCTTGTCTTCATATTTGTTTGCCTCAGTTTGTTTATGTGTTTATTAGGTTGAATTGGTGCTGGCTCATTTTCATGGAGCATCTTTTTCTTGTTTCTTTTATGTCAATTTGTCTTGCACTTGTCAGGCATTTGTCAGGATATGTTATATGAACTTCGCAGGTGACCACCTCCGCAGACACAGAAACTCAATTAGAAGTGTCCTCGAGTCAATTTGTTCACAACCGAAAATGGTATATGCATCAGGAGATTACCGATGGTTAGCTTGTTGAGGTTAGAGAGTTGTAGCCCATGCTTTACTTGTGTCATATTACCCTCGTTAGGAAGTGGTAACGCAAATTAGAGACTATTGTTTATTGAAGACTAGTATTGATACTTGAAGGGATGGTTTAGTTCATTGTTAATCACATCTCTTACCATGAAAGCAAGATGTTAAGGCAGTAAATTCCTTAATAACAATCTTAGAGGGAATCAATTTAATTTGGTTTCAATAATACTAACCTAACAAACCCTTTAATTTTATGTTGGAGTTTGTGATTGGTTTGGTCAGACGTGATTTATTATTAGATAAGTGAGATCGTGATTTATTATTAGATAAGTGAGATTTATGTGAACTGAAAAATAGAGAAAGTTACTAAAAAGTGTCTTTGTATAATATTACTTTTCGAGTTTTGTATGAGAGAAAGTGAATTGGGTTGGCATTGTCGGTTTGGAAAAAGAAATAGTATACTAGTACCGACTGTTAAGTTTTAGGCGTGATTGATGGTCATGGATTCCAAAATGATGGTGTCAAAATCGATGCGATAAGAGTAGGTGAATCTTGATGCACAATACATGCACTGCATCACTCCGTGAGAGAGTTGACTACATGCTTGGACTCTAGGAAGACGACAGAATGGTTTTTTAACTTTGAATTAAGCGTATGGAGTTGATTTAGGTACTCAAGGTGCACACCAACGACTAGATGTGTACGCCGATAACTATGCATATAAACAATCAGTTTTGTTTATATATATATATATATATATATGTGTGTGTGAAAAGTGAATTTGACTTTATTTAAAATGTGTGTGTGTGTGAAAAGTGAATTTGACTTTAAAAAGTTGATTTTATAAATTACTCTTCTATTTTATACATATATTTTTGCACGAAGAATTTATAAATATAGTAATATTTTAACACACACACACACACACACACACACACACACACACATATATATATATATATATATATAAAAGTAAATATGTGTGTGTGTGTGAAGTAAATTTAACTTTATTTAAAAAGTTGATTTTACAAATTTACTCTTCTATTTTATACATATATTTTTGCATGAAAACTTTATAAATATAGTATTATTCTAATATTTAACAATATATACGAAGATTTTATAAGTATAGTATTATTCTAATGTTTAACATTAATTAAGCAACGGTGTTAGGACCAATCAGCCTACCTGGTCATCCCGAGGTCAACAACCAGTTATCTAATTGAAATTATGTTGTATTTTTAAGTTCGCAAAAAATTGGCATTGGACAATTAATGGTTCTATTTCCGTTTTTTGCTAATGGATCTCTCTTAAAGCATATATTTCAGTTTCAAGGACAAGGAATACACAACAAAACTTATACCAATGAGGTGATGCTGCCTGCATCATTTAGGAGTCCATTTAATAGTGATACCAGTCCAGGTAAACCATTGATGAACCAAATTTGACAAAAAGTGGGAAATGTGAAAGTACCAGTACACAACGCATTATCTATCTCTATTTGGTAGTGGTATCATTACACCATGCATATTTTTCATTTTCTCAGTACAGGAAATCAAAAGACAACTCTTAATGTTAAAACAAATTTCTGTCGGTTGAGATATTTGAGCCCTAACTGATCTCACACTAACCTCGTGGTAATCAAATATGCTTGGGAAAAACAAGAGATCAGTAAATATTTGATTAGGCAAGTAAGAAAATTTACAAACGCTTCAACAGTTTATAAATTAATAATCCCGATTCGGTGCATGACTTACTTTGCCTTACTGCAGATACACTCTATAACAAGTACAATTTGAAGCAGTTATTGAATGAAACAAACATAGGCTCATGCTTGACCCATAATTTTGATCACGGAAGGAATGGATTGTGAGAAGGATACGCCTCTTTTTGCTTTCTATATGCCCTGAGAAGAATATAGAGGAAAAACGTATCACCATTTACACCCGCTAAAATAAAATTTCCAAACAAATAATGAATTGATAATGCTAACCACCTGGCTGCATTTAATCCCCCAACTCCAACAGTTCCCAAAATAATTAGAAGAAAAGGAATCCGAATTAAAGCATGGTTTCCTCTCCCCCTATTTGTCATCGGTACTCCCGTTCTGACAACTCGCACATTTGTAGCTAACCAAGAGAAAAAATCATGTCTAATGTATGAACAAAGAAAAATATAGCCAAAAGAAGAAATTCCAATCGAAATCCATAAGAGTTACCTGATGTTGGACCTTCTCCTCTTGCACCTGTGATGATGGTACATGGAGCATGTCAAATCAATATTATCATTTTAATACTCATAAACCTCATCAGAGAATATGATTAGCATTCCTCTCATGGTTTGCAAACTCAAATCCAAATGAACTCGGATATTAGATTGGAAAGCATATAACCAACTCTCAATGAAGGAGAATGGTTAGCACACAGCATCAAATTATATTGTCGACATAGAAGATACTAAAGTTTAATCCAAGCAGCAAACTAACAAATCAAAAGCTAATTTTAAAAACAATTCAGTGGACTCAGAACGCCATAGGAAGTATGGGTTGGATGTTTTCCAGTGAGAAGTATAGAACTACAGAAAAGATGGGATGGATTCGAGACAATTGGAACAATTTCTTAACTACTGAATGATGGGCATTAAAACAGGAAATACAAAGGTCAGGATCAATGGGCAGCATATAAGTAACTTAAGAAAGACGTAAAACACAATGGATTTACAACATAAGAATTGATCCTTGATAACATCAGATTACTTCCTATCAATAATTATTTACTGTATATGGGAAATGTCACAGCTTACTCCAAGTTTGATGGGCCATATTTCAATCAACTAATCTGTCAAATCATCATCAAAAAAATCAAGAACATCATCATCAGTGGTAACACCTCCCGCAGCAGGATTAATCTCCAAAGGTTCAACCAAACCAGCCAGTGTAACCATTTCTGCCGGTCTCCTTTCTTCATTTTCATTCTCATCTATTTCATCTCCATAAAATTGTTCCATCTCATTATAAAGGATCTCCTAAAAGAAAACAAAGAAATTAGCAATTCCACTCCAGATCCTAATCATTTTAATTAGAACAAAAGAAGCAAAAGAAGAAAAACTTCAAGGGAGAACAAAAGAAGCCAGTAGGAATGGAATATACCTCATCTTCTTGAACAGATTGCTTCTCTGACTCCACTAGCCAGTCATCCAGTATGTTTTCCAGCATGGTATTGTCAAAAGAGATCACATCATCAAATTTTCTTCCCATTTGGTGTTCTCTAAGTCGCACATTGTAGTGAACATAGGTGAGGTCATTCCATCTCTTCCGAGACAGACAATTGCGCCTTTTGCAGTGAATTTGATCATAAGTACTCCAAGTATGTTCACATCCTATAGATGAGCATGTCTGGCTTAGTATACGTATGGCAATTCGCTGTAGCTCCAAGCAACTTATCCCATGTTGTTGCCACCATGCAGCTAGTAAAACAACAATGAAGTAAAATTTATCACCATAAATTTGGTGTCCACCACAGACAATTACATTAATGAATACAGATTCTTCAATATATTAATTGAATGACATCCCAGCTGAATCACCTGGATCAAGCTCTGTTCTCGTACTTATACCCAAATCAGTACCAAAATCAGCTCTAGAAGATACAAAATCAGGAATCTGAGAAAATATGATCAAACATGAATCAAAACAACAATGGGAAAACATCACCAGAGATATTGACATAGTTCTAATGGTGCTCAAAAGACATTTTAACCTTGAAATACCAAGGAATTAACCGAATTGAATGTAGCTCTAGACCTCACTAAACACCATATCATAGGTAAAACACAAAAGCATATAAGAAGCCATTACCTGCATGGACGCAGAAATCCTTTTCCCATTATCAGGTTCTAGTCGAACGATACATTCATTTAAACCACGAATTATCTCAGGATTCTACAATTACATAAAGTAGTACAAAATTAGTATTTGCAAGAACACAGAATCGTAATAAGCTGTTATATTAAACTAATTCCATACCATAATAAAATCAGGAAGACAACGATAGGATGGATTGAAAAAGTAAGCAGCCACATGAAGAGGATGGTGGAACAATAAGTTCCACTGGTTGTCAATCACATTCCAGAATGGTCCATATTTTCGTACATCATCACCATGAATTGCTTTAATAGCAAACTTAGCTCTACACATGTCATTATATATACAAGAAATCGACCTGCTTGCATCACTATCTATTTTCTGGAGAACTTCTGCAACTGGTTCTAGACTTTTCTTCACATATTGCATCTTTTTCCAAAATGTTGCATTTAAGACATTTTTCACCATATCTTTACCTTCATCAGACTTGGCAAAACGGGAAGAAAGCCATTTGTTCGATTGGAACATTCTCTTAAGACCAGTCCTTTGCTCCAACAAACTCTCTAAAGTTAAGAAATTAGTGGCAAACTTAGTGGTAGCAGGCCTAAGGAGTTCCTGTCCCTTTGTAAATTCCTTCTTCATAAAGCTCAACAACCATGTGCTGTTATAAATGAGCCTTGTAATTTTTTTCGCTTTATCTAAGCAGTCTCCTACCCATTTTATACTCAGAATATCCTCAAGCATTCGATCAATGCAATAGACAGCACATGGTGTCCAAAATAAATTTCTTCTTTTTTCTTCAAGCATTTTTCCAGCAGTTTTGAAACTAGCAGTGCTCTTAGTGATCACCTGTGATGGAAGTTAAAAGGAAACAGCTTAGGAAGTGGTTAATCAAGTGATATAAAAGCATGCAGTGGAGAAAGACAAAAAAACAAAAAGAGTTTAACCACCTGGACAACATTCTCCTCACCAATCTCTTCAACCACTTTGTCCAACAACTTGAAAATGCTTGCAGCATCTTCTTTTGTATCAGTGGCATCAACAGAAGACACAAAATAAAGACCACGAGGGCAAGAAACCAAAAAGTTTATTAATGTCCTACCCTGCACATCATTCCAACTATCAGCCATGACAGAACAACCAGTATGTGACCAAGAGGCCTTAAGCCCTGCCAAGTTCTCTTTAATTGTAGCAATTTCATCTTGGAGGAATCGACCAGATATCAATCGACTGGAAGGACCTTGAAAACCTTGACCATATTGACCAACTAGCTCCAGCATTTTGTGGAAATATGGGGAGTTTGCTGCATTTGAAGGAATTCCAGCATGGTAAAAAAACTTGCAAATTGCTGATATCACTTCCTTGCGAGTTCTCTTCTCGAAACCTGTCTTTGCTTTCACTTGCTTGCGGTGTGGTGATGTCTGGTTTCTGAGTGTCTTCAGAAATACAGAATCCAATCTTGATCTTCTCATTAGTGGTTCAGCACCATTGCCACTGCTACTAGGGGACCTACCCTTGACATTGTATCTAATGTCACTATCAGAAACATTATCATCAATAGCCACTATGTCTTTACCCACACATTGTAAGAACCTACCATCCTGCTCTTCCTCTTCATCCTCATTATCTGAATGCATGTAGAAAGCAGATATCTCCTTGGTATCAGGTTTCCGGTGCCTTCTGCCTGTACGGTGCCATTTCATGTTCTCCTTAATTTTAAGATACACATCCTCAGGTGCCTTCTCACAATATGCAACTTCTCCAGGGATCCTAGCCAGATGTTGTTTAAAACGATTTATGCCTCCACTAATTATCTTTTCGCAATAATTGCACTTTACTCTTTTCTTCTTATCATCTTGAGCAACACAATGTTCCCATCCAGGGTCCACATATCCTAATGACCGAAGAGGCGCGAATCTTATAACCAAGTTCTTATCACCCATCACTTTCTTGCCTTTGTGTTTATAATCAGCAAGCGTATCTTCTATGTCATTATAATCACTAGAATGGCAACTAAAAGATGGCTGTTCATATTCAGATTGCCTTCGTTTCCTACCAGAACGACACCCTTCCAGGTTTTTTCTCATGCTCAAGCATACTTCATCTGGAACCCTTTCACAGTGAGTAACTTCCCCAGAAATTCTAGCTAAATGCTGCTTCAATCTGAATATCCCACCACTAACGATTTTCCCACAGTAGTTGCATTTAACCTTCTTTTTCCTTTCATCTTGAGCAATGCCATGCTCCCATCCAGGATCAACATATCCTGTAGACCGAAGTGGGGCCATCCCTTCAACCATATGACAAGTGGCTTGCAACAGAAACTTTATTTATTTGGCTGTAATATGATTGAAATGAGTATTAGAATAAATAAACAGGCATGAGAAATGGAAAATGTGAAGGTGGTCCCAAGTATCAAAATTTTAAGCAACCTAAAGTGCCTCTTGTTAGAAAGGAAATTATAAAAAATAAAAAGAGAGAGAGACACACACACATGAGAAAACTTTATCTTTGCAACAAAATAACTGCAGGAACAAAGAAATTATACAAAGTATACAGCAACCACTTATCCCAAATAATGAAAAATTCCTGACATAGCACTCAACACTATAATTAGTTTGAATAGAACATAGAAAACCATGGCAGAACAATGAACAAAATACAGATATATTGAACAAAGTTGGGTTTTAACACCTCTGTTACTATCTTGAATCTTGATACAAACTAAGATTTAATGATACCACATGTTTCAGATATAAAATCATTTAAAAGTAGAATAAATACAGTTTTCACTATAATGGAGATCTTAAAAAATAAGTATCCAAGTGAAGTGATGGTTGATTTTTCAAAATACTTAAATGATGAGATGATAAGTGTAGTATTACTCATTATTTTTTCATGATTTTGAAGCCGTATTTCAAACTTAAACAGATTCCTAAGTGATGTGAATTCTTCCAAACATTCAATAAATAAGTGTAAATTAATTTCATTACTTTCCAAAAAAGGGGTACAAGAATCACAAAATGAAAAAAATAATAACACAAAACTTAGAACTGCAAAAAATTCTAACCAAATGAACCAGCGTATCAGGATTCTGGCAAATAATGAAATCAAATATTTTGCAGCAACGGTTCCCAGAAGATGCTCAGAGGAAAAAGAAAAAACCATTTATCAGCATTCACCAGCAGAAAGGAGAATAAAGAACTTTTAGTCGTACAATGAATTTTCCTGTTTGACAAGCTGGAAAGGTGCAAATCATCTGTTGCATGGCTTGCAAAGGTTGAGCTGGCTCGTATATATACCTCAAAAGCATCAAATGAAGCCTGATCTAGTTATCAAAACTACATTGACTGGTAAGTTGAGAACTCAAAGCCCATAATTGCACAAGAAACAAACAACACTTAAACAGAAAATGATACAGAGGATTAACAAAACAAATGTAATTTTAACATCTATGAAAAAACAGCATAGAGTCACAACTTCTAAAATCAGATAGAAAATTCAATAACGGCTAGACTCCATCATTCAACGTCATGACAATGTTAATGGAGTGTGACCAGTTTATACAATAACTTTTGAAGTTCATTTGGGAGTTTGCAAACCATGATTGTTTGGAATACTCTTTCAATCTTTCTTGTAATAGAGCATATGAAGACATGAAAATTACCAGAGAGCAGGCAAGTGTACGCTTCTGAAATCTGTGGCAAATGCACACATCATGGTCAGGCATATTCGAGTGATACATTCTTAGTATAGAAACTTATCGTATTAAACTTGAGCATGACTTATATAAAAAGAAAAGAAAAGAAAATAACAGAATTAAATATAGCCAAGATGTAGAATCAACATATTTGCTGCTACTTGAAGCAGCCATCCGCATATCTCTGAACTTAAACTTGGCTATCAAATGAAAAGGTGTTACAGTAATAAAATCAGTCTAGAAGTCTTCTCAATCAAGTAGGTTTTTACTTCCCAATCCGTGGTTCGCTATTCCCCAATCTAATATACATGGATAGAGTGTATTTTTTGTCCGTCTCTAAGTGAACAAACACTTAAAGTGCAAATAACTTGTAAAAGGATTTGATCAACCAAACAATTCAACAAAAGGGATAAACTCCTTGTTAAACTCTGACAAAGTCCAGAGCATGTCGTGATGTTAAAAATTACTCCGTGTGAACTCAGACAAAGTCCAGATCATCTCTTGATTTTTAAAACAATGCTCCCTTGGGCCAACATCAAGCTTGAAACAAGAAACTGGAAACCGTAAAAAATGTTTAAGCAACTTATCACTTACCAATTTGAACTTGGACTCAGCATGAGGTTTTTTGTCAAGCGGAAAGAGGTCAGGATGAGACTCCCATACCTTCCTTCGATAAGCTGCTTTAACCTACCACACAACCAACAATAAAAACACTAAAATAATGTAAAATATTTTCAAATTCATGAATCTTATAACAACTAAATAGCACGCTCAGTCGCATCAGTATCAAACTCGAAAAAATTAATCCATTCGATTCGAAGTAAGAAATTCAACTGTTGCATCAAGAAGAAACCTCAAATCAGAAGTGAGAGTCCGCCACAAGTAAAGTCAATTTGATTCATTTGACCGTAAAAATTAATTGAATTTCAAACTGTAACCCTAAATTCATGAAATATAGTATAATATAAAGCTAAAGTTGAAAAAACAAAAACGATCAAGAGACAAAAAGAAAAGATACCTGAGACAGTGTGGGGCGATAATTGGGAGGGAAGCCTAGCAACACCCTCGCTTCATCGCCGTGCATTTCTGTAATATCTTGTGGGTTATGTCAAGCCCCATGTCTTTAGTTTACACTTATTTTATATTGAAAATATATTGGGAAAGCTTTCAGTCTGAATACTTGTAGAGGTGGTGATTTGTGAGTAGGTAGATGAAATTGTATGGCTCTCATCAAGTGGTTGGGTTTAATTTGGATGAGTTTGACTTTGTTTATCAAAAGCCCCACAAGCTCCATGTGCTGGTTGGACGTCAGCAAATCAACTGGGCATTCAACGTGTATGTTGTAGCTGAACCCATGTGTACCGTGTGAATCATAAAAGATACGAAATTGGAATTAATTATGGCTTCTCATATTTATTTTACAGTTATGATAATATTTCCCGTAAAAGTATTCATTTGAATTTGAAAATTAACTTTATGAGCTGAATGATGGGATGAGCAAATGGGATCCAAAAACAGCAAACGACATATTCCCACCTAGGTATATCGAAATTTTTAAGTTGGTAGTTACATTTATTTTAAATGTTTACTTTTAAATTTTTTTTATTTTAATAGATTTTTAACTTTTTACTGTAATGTAACACACGTCAGCATATTAAAGTATGTCGATACTTTATTTGATAGAGGATAAGCTCCTATTTGCAAAAACTGGCTCACTTTAGCAGAGTCAAAATTGATAGTTTTTTACTTTTTTCAACTCATTCAAAAGTCTAAAATTACTTCTAAGACTATCATTGGACTCCTCACAACTTTTTCTACAAAACTCATACCTTCATTTACCAACCTTACTCACTATTTTCAACCATCTCCAACCATTACTAATAGTGTTAACTTAAAGGTGTGAATTTATAATAAATATAATTAGAGGTATCAACTTTAGATTTCGGCAACCGTCGTATAGGAATACATCATTTACTCTTCCAAAAATAACGTGTCCGAACTTGAAAAAGCATGTTAAAATGGACACAGGAGGATTTACCATTAAATTGTCACTGAATACGTAACTGCTCACAACTAATTATGGTGCTTTTTTTTTTTCTCCTCACTTGATTAATTAATCGTAGCAAAAATATAAAACTGTATTGAACTATTTTTAAAATGTCCATCTCATCAAATAACTCAACGAAAGTTAATGTGCATCTCGTGCAAACATTAGCTAATTTTATCAGAGCACACAATGGATATAACCCGCCACTGTGAAACCCATCTTGAACGAAAGCTCCGCAAAGATACGTCTTTGTTTCTCTCCGGACTCCGGTCCAAGATATTATCCTTTCAGGACCGGTGTATCGGAGGGGGAAGATTTGAAAGAAAATAAAAAAAACCAAGAAAAAATGAACGCCAAAACGATTATCACCTTGTTTTCCCTCCTACTTGTCGCTGGTGTTGTCATCGGGTTCGTTGCTACCAATCGCGGCGACTATAAAGATGGACTTTCACACCAAAAGAAGGTTGTTTCCCAATTCTGTGGACGTACTGAATACAAGGACGTTTGCATAACCACCTTTGACGATGCAAAAACACAAGATCCCAAGGAACTCCTCAAGGCCACTATTCTAAAATCCCAGGATTCCGTGCAGAAATTGTCAGACTTGTCCGACCGGTTGATCGCGGATGCCTCCACTGATAATAGTTCGAAAATCGCCTTAGAGGACTGTAAGGAATTGCTGCAGTTCGCCATGGAGGATCTTAAAAAAATGTTATTGATGGTGGAAAATACCCAATTGCTCGACATAAATAAATGCACTGACCATATCACGACTTTGTTGAACGCTGTTATCACATACTGTTGATGCAAGATTTAGGCACCAACTAATTGACACGTGTGTAGTGCTGTTTGGGCAAGGAACACACGTGAATATCAATTAGGAATAAGGGATAAATGCAATGAAAGCTTTTAAAGTGGTTCGGATGCTAAGGTAGCAAGTCCTACGTCCACTGATGTGTATTGATATGGTGGGTCAGGTTGCTAAAGTGGACTGACTTACAAATGATTGAACAGTAATTGCAAAGCTTTTACAGAGGGAGAGTTCCAATATAAAATTGATCGAATCCCCTTAATGAAGGGGTCTTCCTCTTCTTATACCCAGTTGAATGCGTGTAATCATCATTGAATCCTTGGGTTGGTGTGTATGTCAGGACCTAATCTGATTTTGCGTCTCAGTGCCCATTTCTCAAGCTGATTTCACGCGATTTGGAGCAGGGGAGAGGACACGTGGAGGCTCCAGGGTGCTTGACAGGCTTGACGTGCGCTTACCGTTCTGACGGGAGCAGGCCACGTTTCGCCACGCGACTCCACATTAGCTCTCGGTTTCCCAGGCATAACAGAAGTCCCCTAGTTTTTAAGGTTTGAGAATCGAACCTTGGAAACTAAGTCATGCCGCGATTTGAGGTCCTAGTAGTTTCGGTCTGAATGGAAGGAGCTCGGGACAGGACCTTTTGCGAACACGATCTCGTACAAGTCTTACCCAAACGACCTGACAATCGTCATTTTAGCAACCTGGATTAGTCGGACGCTCTTTTCCACGCCTTGGAGAGATTCAATGAACCCGCATACACGCTGTCAAACGCTCTGCACGTGCTGCAGTGTGTCAGGTGCATTAAATGCGTGGTGTGCTGACCAGACGTCGTTTTGACAGCCTTAACTGCGCGACGCATATGAAACGACGACCCTCATTACGGCATTTAATGTGATGTGGGGCGCATTAAATGCGGGGAAAGAGAGAAGGTTGTCGTTTCGGTTCCGAGAGGTAGTAACCGTCGATTCGCAGTCCATATAAAAACTCACATTTTTCAGATGAGGCCACCAAAATCCCTTTCGTTTCCAGTGATAAGCCTTTGCAAACCGGAAGTTCTCCTTTTCCGATTGGCGCTTCTCAGGCATCTGAAACAGGTTTCGGCCTTGGTCACGCATCCCCGAAGGTAGGAACCTTTTTCTTCCTCTCTCTTTCTTTTTTTGTTTGACTGGTGGGCAACGGCGTTGGGTCTCCTGGTGTTTCACAAGAGGTGTGCCGCTGTTGCCAGACTCGAGCCGTGGGTGGCGGCTCGAGTTACTGTTAGGGTTTAAGGGATTTGTCCCATGCCGTCGCACGGGACAAAATGCGAAGGCTAAAATGACCGTGTCTATCAGTGTTGCAGACTCTGGAATGGAGCCGTCAACGTCCAGACCCGAGGAAGCGGCCAGCTCGTCCTCGCGGGATGTTTCCGAGGATGCATCTCTTGATGTCTTCTCGGTTCTCACCCATGAGGAGTTCAATAGGATAAAAAAGCAATTTGATGTCCGCGTAGAGGTGTTCCTCGACCACACCAGGCCGTCACGGCGTCCCTCTGACGGCCTCGCTGTGATCTCCGAAGAGATCTTCAAAGGTGGAGGGACGATTCCCTTCCATCCTTTTATCAGCTCGGTCCTAGATCACTTCGGGATCACGCCGATGCAGTTGATGCCAAAAGAGTATGTCATCGCCGTCGCGATGTACATCGCGTGCTACGAGAATGGCCTGGGCGAGCCAACGGCGGTGGAGCTCGATGTCGCCTATTACCTTAAAAAGAGTAGGGACAAGGATTCGTATTACTTGTCCCGGTGACCTACTATTGCCGAGGGGATACATAGCTATCCCAGTAAGGCAGTAATACGGGGGCCTACGAAACAAAATTCTTCTTTTTCTGCTACGACGGTACACTGCCGCTTTCAGAAACCAAGTAGGTTCCTTTTTGCTAGGTTCATTGTCTGTTCGCAGGCTTGATAATAACGACCTGCTTTCTTATTTTGCAGTTAATAAAATGACCAGCCAAGACCTGCTTGACGACCCGGATAGGCTCGTGTCTTTTGGAGTACTTGACGAGGAAAGCCAGGACGCAAGGAAGCTCGTAACAATCGCGAATTTGTGGAAGTATGGTTTTATCAGCAGCAACGCATCTTTAGAACCCTTGGAAGGTAAGTTACATTGATTTCCGTCCTGGTCGCGGAGCAGTTTTGTTTACTAACGCACTTGCATGCAGAAACTATGCCCCCGAAGGAGTCCGAGCAGCCCCGCCGAGCACCGTTCGTCTTCCCTCGATCGAGGAGAGAGCGAGCGGCTGAAGCTGCTCGTCCTATTCCAGCGCAACCGGTGTGAACTGCCGCGCCTTCACAACCCCCTGTGCAAGAAGCGACCAGGGCAGAACAGGTTGCTCAGGCACCACTGGCTCGCCTAAGGCGGAAGGCTCCGGCCCAAAGGTCGAAGAAGAGGAAACAGGTTCAGGTCGAGTCTGAGACCGAATCCGAGGAAGAGCCCTTGAGGTCACGAAGGGATTCAAGGAGGTCGGGCAAGGAACCCGCAAGTGAGGTGATCACTGCCGACAAGGCGAAGGACGCACCCGTGCTGGACTCGTTGGGGAGCCTGCTCGAGTACCTGCAGCCGATAGTCTATTCTCTGCTCGAGTGTGGACTATCGGAGTCTTATGATGAGTTCGCTAACACGGGCGACAACCTGATGACCACGTCGTTCCAACATCTAAGCAAGGTAAACGAGCTGTTCTCAAAATTTCATTCTAGTTCATTTCTGATCATTTCTTGCTCGCAGGCTTTGCTTGCGATGAGGATGTCTATGGAGAAGACTCGGTTGGGGGCCACGAAAGGGTCCAGCGACCTAAAGGAGGAGGTCGCGAAGCTCAAGAAAAGCCTGGAGTCCGTCGAAGCTGAAAGAACACAAGCATTCGAAGCGGCGAACAAGTATCTGAGCTAGAAGGATGCTGCTTTACGAACTGTGGACTTCCAACAGGTGGAGCTTGAGCGACATGCGGAGGAAGTGAAGGAACTTCAAAGGACGACCGCCAGGCTCTCCAAAGAGGTCGGAGAGAAGGACCTGGAGATCTAGACGACCTCCATATGGGCCCAGCAAGCTGAATAGGAAAGGGAGGCCTCCGAGCGGAGAAGCAAGCTCTTGAGGCCGAACTCCAGGAGAGTCGGGAAAAGATCACTTCACTGACTGAAGAAATGCGGAATCAGTCAGAGGAGCTGGAGGAAAAGGCCGCCGACTGGGCGATTAGGTCTATTTATTCCCTCCGATTAAGGAACCCAGATATGGACATTTCCAACCTCCCGGAGGGGTGGCGAGAGACTTTACGGATTATGGCGGAGGAAGACGATCAGGCAGCAGCGGCCACTCGACGATCCGACCAGGCAGGGGGTTTTGGTTCTGCTTCGAAGGATCCCCCCGACCAGCCGTAGTGTAATGAGTCTTGACTCTATTGTAATTGGGTGCAACTTTTGCTAGTACATAAATGAAGATACATTTTGTTTTCAATTGCAATTCGCTTTTACATACATAAGTTCAATTTACAGTTCAGTGTTACATAGGTAGCATTACATGTGAATTCTTACACGCGAACAGAACACATGCGAACTGTTTCCAGCGAACAAAATTATGCTTTACATTAAAAAGGAAACGAACAAAAACTGATTTGAGAGCTGAGTTTGGGATTACTGATAGTATGGCCGGAGGTGTTCGGCATTCCAAGCTCGGGGTACTTTGGAATCGTTCAATCTTTTGAGATGGTAAGTCCCCGGTCTGATCACCTTGTCAATCCGGTACGGTCCTTCCCAGTTAGGTCCTAGTACCCCCGCACTCGGCTCTCTGGTCCCAAGGAGGACTTCCTTTAGCACAAGGTCCCTGACCTGGAAGTCTCTTCGCTTAACCTTTGAATCGAAAAACCTTTTTGCTCGCTGCTGGTAGGCTGCTATCCTTAGCGAAGCCTTGCTGCGATGCTCTTCAACGAGATCCAAACTTACCCTCATAAGTGCTTCGTTTTCTACCTCGTCGTACAAGTCTCTCCGAAGAGAACCAGTTCCCACCTCTACAGGGATCATCGCTTCGCAGCCATAGGCTAGCGAAAAAGGGGTCTCTGAGGTGGAAGTTCTTGGAGTTGTCCTGTACGCCCGTAAGACTTCGGGGAGATCGTCAGCCCAATTTCCTTTGGCCGCCCCGAGCTTGGCCTTTAGAGTTGCTTGATGGTCTTGTTGACTGCTTCAACTTGGCCATTTGCTTACGGTCTGGCGACTGAGGCGAATTTTTTATGGATGCCCAGCTCGTCGCAGAATTGTTTGAACTCCTCGTTGTCAAATTGCTTTCCATTGTCCGAGATGAGGGCGTGGGGAATTCCGTAGCGGCACACTATGTTTTTGAAAACGAAATCTTTCAGCTTTCTGGTCGTGATCGGGGCCAGCGATTCGGCTTCCACCCATTTCGTGAAATAATCTACCGCGACCACGGCATACTTGACCCCTCCCTTTCCAACCGGCATGGGACCGATAAGGTCGATCCCCCACATGGAAAATGGCCAGGGGCTAGACATTGTTATCAGCTCGTGCAAGGGGGCTCGCGGAATATTCGCGAACCGCTGGCACTTGTCACATTTTTTGACAAAATTGTGCGTATCTTCCTAGATCCGGGGCCAATAATATCCCTGACGAACAACCTTGTTCGCAAGAGATCGAGCGACTGCGTGATTACCGCAGATTCCTTCGTGAATTTCCCTCATGATGTAGTCTGTTTCTTCACTGGCTACACATCGGAGGAGAGGGGCACTGAATCCTCTCCTATAAAACTGGTCCCCGATGAGTGTGTAACGAGCAGATCTTGCTCGCAGACCCTGGCCTCGACCTTGTCACTTGGCAAGGTCCCATCCTTGAGGTACTGAATAATGGGAGTCATCCAGAAATCTGGTTGGGTCATGTTTACGGCCTGTTCGGTCGAGCTGATAGTTGGAGCATCGACGAAACGAATAGGAATGTTGTCTGGAGCCTTTGAGTCCAACGACGAGGCTATCTTTGCCAAGGCGTCCGCTATAGAGTTGCTATCTCTTGGGATCTGAGAGATTTCAAAGTGCTTAAACGACCCCAAAGCGGTCTTAGCCTCTTTCAGGTAGCGGACCATGTTCTCTTCCTTGGCTTGGTATTCCCCTAGAATTTGGTTGACGACCAGCATAGAGTCGCTATAAATGCTGATTGCGGTTGCACCCATTTCTTTGGCAAGCCGCAACCCGGCGAGCAGGGCTTCATACTCTGCCTCATTATTGGTCGCCTTAAACTCAAACCGCAGAATACCATGAATTCGAGCTCCCTCGGGGCTTACAAGGAGAAGACCCGCATCGGCTCTTTTCCTGTTTGATGACCCATCGACGTAGAGGTTCTAGGTTGACAGGTTCTGAATACTTTCTTGCACGACCTCGCTAGGCTGTTGCTCGCTCCGAAAATAGGAAAATAGGAAAATTTCGAGATGAAGTCTGCAACAGCCTGCCCTTTAATGGTCGATCTGGGCTTGTACTTCAGGTCGAATTGGCTTAATTCCATTGCCCATTTGAGCGGCTTGCCCGAGGCTTCTGGTTTCTGGAGAACCTGCCTGAGGGGGTAATTAGTCATTACGTTGATTGTATGGGCATGAAAGTAAGGTCGCAGCTTTCTGGACGCGATCAGCAGAGCAAGGGCTAGTCGCTCCATTTCTGGATACCGCATCTCGGCATCCGACAGGTGCTTGCTCGCGTAGTACACTGGCCATTGCGTCTTTTCCTCTTCCCGTACCAGAGCTGCACTAATCGCGAATGGGGATACGGACAGGTAGATGAGCAGGATTTCCTGTGGAAAAGGCTTAGAGAGGAGAGGTGGCTTCCCAAGGTGTTCTTTTATACTCTGGAACGCCTGTTCTCATTCGGGAGTCCATTCGAATTTTTTATTGGCCTTCAGGACATTGAAAAATGGCAAGCAGCGGTCTGTTAATCTCGATATGAAGCGACTAAGTGCCGCTATCCGCCCATTTAGACTCATAACTAGCTTTTTGCTGGTCGGGCTCTCCATATCAAGCAGAGCTTGAATCTTCTCGGGGTTTATTTCTATGCCCCGCTGATTAACCATATACCCCAAGAACTTTCCCGACGATACCCCGAACGAACACTTGAGAGGGTTTAGCTTCATTCTGTAGAGTCAGAGTACGTCAAACATCTCAGCGAGATACGTGATATGTTCTGAGGCGACCTGGGATTTGACCAGCATGTCGTCCACATAGACCTCCATTGTCCTCCCTATCTGGTCGGAGAACATTCGGTTGACCAACCTCTGATAGGTCGCGCCCGCATTCTTGAGGCCGAAAGGCATGACTTTGTAATAGTATAGCCCCCGGTCCGTAATGAAGGACGTATGCTCCTCGTCTGGCCCATACATCGGGATCTGATTGTATCCCGAGTACGCATCCATAAAGCTTAACAGCTCGTGCTCCGAGGTGGCATCAACGAGCTGATCGATTCTTGGCAAAGGGAAGCTGTCTTTCGAGCAAGCCTTGTTGAGGTCACGGAAGTCGACGCAGGTCCGCCACTTACCATTTGGCTTCTTTACCAGGACCGGGTTGGCAACCCAGGTCAGGTAGAGAGCCTTACGAATGGATCTATTTCGGAGAAGGTTCTCCACTTCTGATTTTAGTGCGGCGTACCGCTCCGAATCCATCGCTCTTCTTTTCTGGCGAACCGGTTTGGCTTCACTGCTGACGTTTAAGGCATGGCAAATAGTATTCGGGCTGATCCCGACGATATCTGCATGCGACCAGGCGAACACGTCAATGTTTTCTTTTAAGAAGCTTACCAGTTCGGAAGCGAGCTGAGGGTTGAGACAGCTTCCAATCCTTAACATTCGGCTCAGCTCTTTTGGATCAACCGAAATTTTGGACAGATCCTCAACTGGGCCGCTGGGGGGGATTTCTTGGATTCGCGGATCTATGTTATCCTCCGCTGGACCAGGCTGTGGCTCGATCCGGCTGATCGCCATAGCTTGGCAGGGCACACATCGCGAAATGCCCTTTCCCTTGTCTGCCATCTACACCGCTTTTATATAGCATTCGCGAGATGCGCTTTGCGATCCGCTTACTTCCCCGATCCCCGTTGGAGTGGGGAACTTCATCTTGAGGTGATAAATGGAAGTAACTGCCTTGAAGGTTCTCAATAGAGGTCGCCCCAAGATTCCATTAAAGGCCGATGGGCAGTCCACGACCAAAAATTTGGTAACCCTAGTCACCTCGTCGTAGTCGCCGAGCGTGACTGGTAGCTGGATCGTTCCTTTGGGATCGTTCCTTTGGGGATCAGGTGATCCCCCATAAAACCGTAAAGAGGCATTGAGGCTGGCTTCAGGTCAGCCTCGCCTAGGTTCATTCGATCGAAAGCGGTCTTGAACAGGATGTTCACAGCGCTTCCGTTGTCTACAAGCATTCTGCAGACATTATGGCACCCTATTAGGGGCGTGATCACCAGAGCGTCCTCATGAGGATGGTGCAAGCGAGCTGCTTCCTTCTCGCAGAAGGCGATCGGTTCCTCCTTTCTATCTTTTTGAGGTCGCTGCGAAGTGTTCATTACCCTGATCGGGTCGTGATATGCTTCACGAGCGTACCTTTCCTGCGCTCCTCGCGTGTTTCCAGCGAGGTGCGGACCTCCGAAGATTATGTTAACATTGCTATATCCGCTGCGATTACGACGCTTTTTCTTTTGCTCCCCTTGGTTCTCTTTTGGAGAGTCATCAATGTACTCCTTGAAGTGCCCTTTCTTGATGAGCTCTTCGATAGCCTGCTTTAGAGCTCGGCATTCATCAGTGTGATGCTCGTTATCCCGGTGGTAACGGCAGTATTTTTTGTTGTTTCTAGCCGTAGCAGGAGTTTTCATTGGTTCCGGCTCACCGAGCAGGCTGGCCTCCTCGAATTTGTCAAGAATGGCAGATATGGACACATTCAGCGGAGTGTATTGAGCTTTGTCGCGGTCACGACGAGGAACGGGAGCATATGACTTTTTGTGCTCGTAACGGGGTTTCTTCCCTTTTCGCTGATCATCAATATCTCCTTTGCGATCAGCTCTCCTGTTTTCTCCCCGACCAGACATACTGCTAGAAGTGCCGTGGTCGCGACGGCGAAGTGCCACCAACGAATTCTCTATTCGGAGATACTTTTCTGCAAGGTTGTAAAATCCGGTGAGGGAAACAGCGTCCTCAGCCTGCAGTTCTTTCCACAGGTCGGTTTGCGGCCGAACTCCAGCTATTATGAGTATTCGGATGGACTCTTCTGGAGCGTGAGCAACCTTGTTAAGTTCCCTGTGGAAACGGTCGATGTAGGATTGTAGGGATTCGTCTCTTTCTTGCCTTATGTTACTGAGGTAGCTCAAAGGCATCGAAAACTTCCGATTAGCTTGGAAGTGCCGAAGGAATGTCGTGCTCATCTGAGGCCACGAACTGATCGATCCCACTGGGAGCGACCTCAACCACCACTTGGCGTGAGAAGTCAGCGTCACGGTCAAACAACGGCATTTTGCAAGATCCGAAACCTGGTGGAGCTCCATTAGGTCGTTGAACTCATATAAATGATCCTGCAGATCATGGTTCCCATCAAACGGCCGCATATCGGGCATTCTGAACCCCGGTGGGAGTGGAGCAGCTAGCACTTTGGGAGAGAACGGGGATGTAGAGGCGACATGCGCCTGTTCGTTTTGCTGCTCCCTTAACCTGTCCAGAGCTCGCTGTAGCTCCTCAATTTGTGGCAACGGAGCCAATTGGGGGTTGCTTTCACCCATGCGAGTCCGGCCTTCACGATTACGGTTCAGGAGGGTCCGTAGGTCGGATTCCTCTTCGCCTCGGTCGGCATTTCCGGCTGCACTTGACACACGCTGGCTGGAGGCGTGTGAAGGCGATGGATTGTGCGGGGCATTTTCACGACCCTTGCGGTAGTACGAACCGCCCTGCGAGGTGTGGGGACCACCCGCATGATAACGATCAGGATCGTTTTGCCGGCGGCGATAAGAATCATCGCACGCGGTATTTTTGCTTGGGTTCGCCTGCGACGTGGCATGGGACTGCTCAGGATTCACTTTTTGGCCGAGTCTCAGCTTTACCGGCACCCTGCTCGGGGCACGATTTGTGCTCGCTGGTCCCTGGGAGCCCGTAGGCTGACCTTTTGCCACTTGTTTGCCCTTATGTCTACGCGCTGCAGTGCTCGTGGCACGGGCTATTGCCCTTTGCCGCGCTTTCACGCGACCTGCAAGCGTCTTTGGCGGTTGCACCGCCCCAGCTGTTGTAGATGACATGCCTTGGTCCAAATGGTCCAACCTTTGGTTGACCGTCTGGAGAGTATTGTCGAACCTCTCCAGGTAGTTTCTGATGGCGGGGTCAAGTTGTGAAGCTGCCGGGATATCCCCCGCAGCATTTTGCGAAACTGGAAGTACCCTAGAGGGGATTTCTTCAGCGCGCTGATTAGCTTGCTCTGGCTCAGATTGGTGGGCAATTTGCTGTTGTAGGACCAGTAGGTCAAAGATTCTCCTGATGAAGGGTTGACACTAAATCAGCCCTCCTTCTAGCGCCAAACTGTTGATGCAAGATTTAGGCACCAACTAATCGACACGTGTGTAGTGCTGTTTGGGCAAGGAACACACGTGAATATCAATTAGGAATAAGGGATAAATGCAATGAAAGCTTTTAAAGTGGTTCAGATGCTAAGGTAGCAAGTCCTACGTCCACTGATGTGTATTGATATGGTGGGTCAGGTCGCTAAAGCGGACTGACTTACAAATGATTGAACAGTAATTGCAAAGCTTTTACAGAGGGAGAGTTCCAATATAAAATTGATCGAATCCCCTTAATGAAGGGGTCTTCCTCTTCTTATACCCAGTTGAATGCGTGTAATCATCATTGAATCATTGGGTTGGTGTGTATGTCAGGACCTAATCTGATTTTGCGTCTCAGTGCCCATTTCCCAAGCTGATTTCACGCGAATTGGAGCAGGGGAGCGGACACGTGGAGGCTCCAGGGCGCTTGACAGGCTTGACGTGTGCTTACCGTTCTGACGAGAGCAGGCCACGTTTCGCCACGCGACTCCACGTCAGCTCTCGGTTTCCCAGGCATAACACATACCAACAAACATGCCTCGATGGCTTTGACAGTGAACCTAACACTTTCAAGGATTTCGTGAAGGATAATACGTTAGATTCTACCAAAATGACGAGCAATGCTTTGTTTATTTTACATGAATGGTCCAAAATACTTGTATGCATTGATTCCAATCTCAAGCCAACTAATAATCGCCGCCTTCTTAAAGTTGACAATGATAAGTATCCCTCCTGGTTCTCGGCTTCAGATCGTAAGCTTTTGGAATCTGTGGCTATGGACAATGATACAGCACACGCTGTAGTGGCTAAGGATAGCAGTAGAGATTACAGTAGCATTCAGGAAGCTATTGATGCCTACCCAAAGGACTTACAAGGCCGATATGTCGTATACGTTAAGGAAGGAACCTACAATGAAAGCGTTACAGTGTCTGAAATATGGTGACGGAAATAGCAAGACCATTGTTACGGGTAGCAAGAGCAAGAGCTTAGGCCTCAAAACCTGGAAGACTGCCATATTCAGTAAGTTTCCAAACCTGTAAGACCCTTGCAACTTAATTAGAATGTGTAGATTTTTATTCTTTTGGACTAATTTGGTGTATAGTACTAATAATGCAGCGGCGATAGGAACGGGGTTCATTGCGAAGAGTATGGGATTCATGAACACAGCCGGCTCTGATGGACGCCACGTCGTGGCTCTCCGTGTCGCATCCGACTATTCAGCTATCTTCAACTGCAAGATTGATGGTTACCAAACCTCTTTGTACGCCCATGCTTACCGATAGTTTACCGTAACTGTATAATTTCTGGCATTGTTGATTTCATCTTTGGTGATGCCACCATCATTATTCAAAGTTCGACTCTCATCGTTAGGAAGTCCAATAATAACGATGAAAAGTACACGGTGACAGCTCAAGGAAGAAGCATAAGACAACAAACCACTAAAATGGTTATCCACAATTGTACCATTGTCCCCGATAAAAGGCTCTTCCACGACAGGTTAAAGGCCCAAGTATACTTAGGTAGGCCATGGAAAGACCATGCCTCAACTATTTTCCTGGAAAATACCATGGGCGATTTCATTGATCCAGAAGGATTTATTAGTTTCAAGGAAAATTTTGCTCAAGACACCTGTATATACTATGAGTATGGCAATCACGGCCCTGGTTCCAATAGAGGCAAGAGGGTCAAGTGGTCTGGTGCTAAAGGAATGAGCAAGGCTCAGGCTCAAGCATACACTGTTTCGAAGTTATTGAAGAGTGACCAATTTTTGGATGACGTTGGAATTCCTCACGCCGGACTCATCTACTGAAATACATACCCATGATAATAGTGTGATTGAGACCACAAGGATCGGAGTTTGGATTGTTTTCAATTAATGTCGTCCTCAATTTGGGTTTTTTTGTTTTCCAATCAAAAAAATAATGATAGTAAATTCATTCATTTACATTGGTTTTTTTCTTTTTTTTTTTTATATTCCAATATGCAATCTAGTAATCTAAATACAATGAGGCATATATGTTTTTTTTTCTTTTTATTGTAATATTCTATTAGTTTATACATATCTCAATTAATTCTTCAAGACTCTAAAAATCGATCGCTGATAGTTTTAATTGTTATCCGTATTAATACTCAGCAACTCAAATTTAGGACTAGTGGAGAATTACATTGTCAACATACTGAGGCATCCAAAAGTAGTTATAAGACATATATGTTTAGTGCTTCAAAGTATTTCATCTTGCCGATTCAAGAATTGCTTTGAATTATTGTCGCAGAGTGATAGAACCCTAAAGAATTAGATTCTTTATAGATATATAAAAAAAATCCTTAAAATTATTAAAACCCTTTAATAAAAATCTTTTGATAAAATAGATATATCATCAAATTACAAAATCCTCTTAAGTACCATTCAATAACCGAGAAAATTGGGGGTGGCAGAGGGGAGGGTCTTACCTCATATTAAGCGGAGGCTGCGGAGAGCGGGGTGACAGAGACTGCGTTTACGCAGCGTTTTAAACGTTTACAAGACAAGAAAAAGGTTTACTAGTGTAGAAGTAACAACGGTTAAAGTTGGTTTGGTTTGGTTTGGTTTGAGTTGAATATTTGCCGTCGAAATTCTTATTGTGGACTTACGAACTCGGAAGAGCTAAGAAGATGAGAAAAGCGAATGCAGGATTCATTTGGAAGAATATGTTTTTGGCATTAAAGGAGTTACAATCTGTTTCATCAATTTCAAATACAAGTCATCTGAATCAAAGATCAGCAATCGCTATCACTTCACTCTCCATTCTTCGTTTTTACTCAACCGGTGAGTTTCAATTACTTATCCTATTAACGCTTATTAAGTAAAATAAGGGTTCTTAAACCCACAGACCCTAGCTTTTTTCCGCTTTTTGTCCCGTAATTTCTTATTTTTACGGATTAAGTTGTTACAGTGACTATGTTGGGTATTGTGTTTAAGAATTTTGGGTGTTGATACTGTTTGAATTGTTTGGTGGGGATGATGGCAGAAATGCAACCTCAACTATCGAATGAACTTATCAAAATAATGGAACAAAAGCTATTGGCTATAGAGCGCAGGAGTGCTTTACTTGAGAATATCATAAATCGGGTATATTTTCGTTTGGGTTTCAACGCAATGATTATAATGCATTTTGTAGTGTTTGTATTCCTTTAGTTGGAGGCTTTAAATGGTTATTTAAGTTCTGTTTCTATTTGGGAAGACAGCCGGAAGCCTCGCCAACAGAGTATTCTAGGGCTAATAAAGAGCTTCGGAAAATCAGGGGTTCAATGGAACTTATAAATGAATTGAGGACCAAACAGAAGGTGAACTGCTGTAACACCTTGAAGTCGTTCATCCATTTAGGGAAATGTGATATGCCCATGAAAAGATGAATTTTTTTTTTCCCTTGGGTAAATTTCTTATTTTTGAAAAAATGAAATTATGTAGGAGATTGATGGGTTGAAGTCACTGATGGCTGAATGTCCCGAGGATAAAGACATGCTTGATATGGCAACAGAGGAATTGAATCCAGCTGTAGAAGAAGAGAAAAAATTACAGAGTTTGCTGCTCAAGTCTTTACTTCCTAAGGATGATGCCGATGAGAGGGACTGCATTTTGGAGGTGAGAGCTGGTAAGTGACGACCATGTAGATGGGCAGCTCAATGCAAATTTTATTGCCTTTTGGTGTCAATCTGTGCCCCCTGTTTTTCAGGCATTTCTATCTCTCCCTCTCTTTATGTTTTTCCCCTTCTTTATTGTTTTTGATAAAGTTTTAATCAGGAACGGGCGGGGAAGAGGCCTCTTTGTTTGCAATGGACATATTTAAGATGTAAGTTTCTACAACCTGACCTGGTTAGCATCTTTAGTCATAATTCTTGCATATCGAGGACCTTTTGAAGAATTGCAACCTTGTTTGAATTACCCAGGTATGAGAAATACTCACAGAAGAAAGGTTGGAAGTTTGATGTTGTAGACGTAACAGAGTCTGATCTGAGAGGATACAAGGTATGTCTTCCATCCTGTGAATTTTCATTAGCCTCTTTTTATTAGATGGGTATTGTTCAGTTGTTAGGTATGGGTTACAAATTATAATGTTTTCCAATTAATACCTTTTTTGTTTTACAAAATATGGAATTACCTCGTAACTGTTTTATAAATCTTTGGTTCGTCCTTTTACTAACCAGGAAGCTAGTGCGGCAATCTCAGGAGTTGATGTCTATGGGAAACTTAAATTTGAGAGTGGAATTCATAGGGTTCAGGTTTCACTACTACCTATTTGACTTACAATGTATGATTCATAGCAGAAATTACAAACAGTTGTCATTTTGCAGCGTGTTCCTGTGACAGAGAAGTCTGGACGAGTTCATACCAGTGCTGTCTCTGTTGCTATCCTTCCTCAGGCTGATGAGGTGCTAAACAAATTGAAGTTGATTGAATGATAATAGTTGTTATGGTGCCACACTTTCATGGTCATTTTTCTTTATAACTGTCACCATTGTAGTATTGGAAGTATTATAATGTTTTATGATGCTCAATCTCATTGATCTTTTTGTTTTGGGGCTTTGCAGGTAGATGTCCAGTTGAGGAATGAAGATTTGAGGATTGATACTTATAGATCTGGTGGTTCAGGTGGTCAGCATGCAAATACCACCAATAGTGCTGTCCGAATAACTCATATTCCAACTGGGATGACTGTGTCCATCCAAGATGAACGATCTCAACATATGGTAAAGATTTTTTACCAACATTCCTGAATAATCAATTAAAATATGCACCATTCCTTCATAACATGTTATAGTAAGGCCTATGTACAAGTGCCAGGTTTCCTTCAATTTTCATTGCCTTCTTATGGAATATATAGAAAGATGACTTGTTGATTATAAATATTGAAATACATAGTCCTAATGATATAAACTTGTCCAATGACCCCTTTTTTTCGTTTTTTCGTTAAGTTGGCATGAACTGAGCTACATCTATGCATCATAAAAGGGGGGAAAATGAGAATTGAGCCTTAGCACATACAGGTTGGTGTTGTATCTATCTAAATTATCCACAATGTAGTTTCACAGGCAATGGATCTTGAACTATTACATTCCATTCATGTGCAATTTATTAATATCAAATCCGTGGTATAGCTGCGTTACAGTATCATCCCTCAGTATTAAGTAAGCAATATATAGAAATCCGTGGGCTGGGTACTTTGCATCATCCGTTTTGGTTCTTCTCTTATGGTTGTTCTTTTGCCTTTTTGATCTTTATAACAGAACAAAGCTAAAGCACTTAAGGTGCTTTGTGCGAAGCTGTATGAAATAGAAAGGTTAAGAGTTCAGATGAATCGATCAAAACTTCGATTAGAGCAGGTAAAAGTGACTGTGAGATGAAGATGAGCAAGTTTACTATTGTTTTTTGTTTCTTATTTTCCAGAACGTTGAAGGATTCTTATCGTTGTAAACAGATTGGTAGTGGTGATAGATCAGAGCGTATCCGTACTTACAACTTCCCTCAAGGGCGTGTCACTGACCATCGTGTTAGCATTACCCATCATGCAATAAATGATGTGATGCTGGGAGAAAATCTAGATATCTTCATAGACGCCCTTCTTTTACAGCAGGAAATGGATGCAGTTGCCTCATTCAGTTCTAGTCAGTGATGCTAGTGAAGGTCTTTACCCTGGACCTGTTCTTGATCATATTATTGAATGGTGTTAAGATTTAAGTAGATTATTTATTTTTAAAATTTTCCATAGTTTAGCCTCATAATTGGGAGTTTTTGTGTAACAATATACCTTGCTTATTACTTCCATAAGTTGAAGGATTTGCGGAAGTTTTCTCATTGTTGTTAAAAAGGGAAAGTTACTTGAGATAATCTATATGCAGAGGAATATTACTGTAATGACCCGAGTAATTGTTTGGTACCATTTTCTGGAGCAGCTTGCTAAAATGTATACATGACATGAATTACAGATAAGCAGAGGCAGGCAACAGGCTTTCAAAAGCTGTGAAATGTGGTTGACAAAGATGTTTTTATTGTTTAAGGTTGTCCAACTGCAAACTTTTCAATTGACATGACTCACAAAACTATAACTGAAATTGAAATTGAGAGTTCAAATCGTCATCCAGATCTCATCAAGAGAATCGTTTAGAGTTGCCCCACACATCCAAGTTGATAATATAAATGATGAGTGATAGACCCCCAAAAAGTATAGATGATAAAAATCGTGATTAAAAGATGATAAAATTATAGTACATAATCATATAATGCTTTTAGAAGAGGGAAAAAATTCATACATGTGGGGTTTTGGATGAGTCTGGGGGCTACCAAGTTGACGTAGAAAATGTTGCAACTTTTCCTGCGGTAGAAAATTTCACTTACAAAATAAATAAATATATATGTATTTTAAATAATAAATTCTCTCATTAACAACTTAACACAAAGGCGGAAGATATGGTGGTGCGTTTCCACTGGGTCCCAAAAGTGTCTGGACGACTGGACTGAAGGAGAAAGGTGAGCATATCTAACAAAAAGCCTACGCTACCCGAAGAAAGTTTGACATAAGGAAAAGCAAAAAAAAGTGGTATTTGTGTGAGTGTTTTTCACCTGCCAAGATATCGTATCATAGATAAGGCAAGGCAACAACTACAAGTCTATCTTTGTGGTGCTTCTTTTGCTTGGAATTCTCTCACAACCAAGTCTTTCTACCCATGAAAAAGTCCTCGAAAATGACCCTTTAGCAAATTGCGATTGCTAGGAAAAATAAATAAAAATCAGCTAACCTGTAATACTACCCACAAAAGTCTCTTTCGTTTCTGGCAAGGTAGAAAATTTGGAATAAGGTGATTGGGTTAAGTTTAATATAATATATGTCTATTTTTTTGTTCCATAATTGGTTTAACATGTGATGCAATATTTCCGGATCCAATTGGAATCCAATGCTAGAATTGGTTTACAAAAAAAAATAAAAAAAATAAAGACATTCTGGTTCTTGCAAGAAATGGTAGATGTAGTATTTTGGTTTTGTCCGTTTTTGATCATTGATTTCCTGTTTTGGACCAAGAGGATCAAACTTCTATTATTCTATACACAGTTTATAATTATATTTTACTTTTGTGGTTAGATCTAGAGTAAGGTGGGCTATTTGTCTCTGACACAAAAACACCTTAAAAACAGACAAAAAGAGAAGATTTGCAGACCTCAACACATACATCTGACTCTCCCCAAACTCAGGGGTGTTCAAGAGTATTCAAACAAGGTACATAAAAAGATTCTCACCCCCCGTTAATTTTGCTTCTTCGATGAGTACTAGAATGTAAAAAAGAAAAAAAAAAAAAAAAAAAGCAACTGGTGATTCTTATTATTCTCAGAAGCAAAGTGTGTTTTGTCAGATGGATGAGTTTCCAAGAGTATTATGTGGGTGGAGTTGGGAGGAGAACAAGTTGTTTGAGCTGGCTTTAGCAGTAGTTGATGAAGAAGACCCAGATCGCTGGGAAGTGGTTGCAGCCATGGTTGGAGGGAAGAAAAGTGTGGAGGATGTTAAGAAACATTATGTGATCCTTCTGGAGGATTTGCAGTTTATAGAGTCTGGTAAATTGGACCACAAACTTGGTGAAACTCAGCCTTGTAGTCAGGTTGACTGCACTCAGTCTGTGTGCTGGACCGACGAAGATAACAAGTATGTAACCTAACCTCTCTTTGTAACTAAAAACCTTTTCTTCTTTGGCTACTCTTTATTCTTGTCCATCATCTTCAATCATTCACTTCTGTATCTGGGCTTTATTGATGTATCATACAACATTTTGAGAGCCATAAGACTATAGCTATAGGAGGATTTACTTTAATTCTTCAACAAATATTATTAATTTCCTTCATCTTCAATTTCCTGGTCTTTAATTATTATCAAGTCATTAGCACATGCGTGGTAAAATCTGGGTCTAATGTACTCAACAGAGTTTGAAATTGGCAGTCTTCCCTAGCTTTTCTTTTATTGTAGGAGCAATTTTAGAGAAAATGTTTCTCATTATTCTTCCTGGAAATATGGTCTCACGGCTAATATCTAACACTTTAGGCCACAGGACACCAACTTCTGAAAGTCAGAACCCCAAAATAGTGTTCTACAAAGTAAGAAAATGAAGAGCAGCCTCCCAGTTCATTTGTAATGTCTACGCTACCTCTTAACAAAATAAATTGGGGATATTCATAGAAGAAATTAAATAAAGTACAAAAGGGACTTTGTATTTTGCGCACAGAATGTACAAAGATTTACAACCCAGCAGAGCTAAAATCTCATCTGCTCAGGCTCATAATAATTTTGTCGTATATATCAAATTGTCTGACAGGTTTCTATTATTTCATAGGAATGCATCAATGATATGTAGTAGTTTTGTGTTGTCTGACTGTAATTTAGGTTTTACGAATGTTGTTGCATACCAGAGATATAGTTAACTTCTAATGTGGTGTTCTACTTCAGTTTTAAGTGCTCATCTGCTCATCTCATCAAGTTACAAATTTATTAGTGATTGAATGATGTTACAGTCCTCATTTATCTTCTATAATAACTTCTCAAAATCTTTTTACTGCTTGGCACTCTGCTCATACTCCACTCTCAAGGACACTCGGGAATGAAATCCTTGAAAGTTAAAGACACTAACAGATGTGTATGCATGTCTAATAGCAAGTTATAAATGAAAACATGTAGTGTTCAGGTAGTAGCATTGATTCATTATTGAGACTTATGTTCTGCCATTATAATTTCTGATTTTTATGATATCTCTGTTTACAGCTTGCTGTTTCAATTGAACGTAAATTGATCGCCAGAGCCAACAACAATTCATTAAAGCAGATTGATTTGTACGAAAGCTCAGGCCTAGTTAGCATTTAAAGAATGAACAAAGCTAATGAATTGGGTTTAACTGCATCAATTCTGGAGTTTTGTCAATCGTTCGTTAAGTTTAATCTATCCCTACTTTGTAAACAGGAAGTTGTCATGAAATGTTAGAATTGACCTTCCAAACTGTAATTAAATGGTTTTTGAACTTTTGAGTAGTAATATATGTTAGTCTATGGTTTCCCGTTTGGTTTGTTAGCTGATTATAACTGGAATTTTTTTATTTTCAGAATTTCAAAAGCTGGCCGGCCAGAATCATGGTCCAATTATACCATGCTGGTGGCTTCATTCTAGCTCTGACCACAAAGTAGCCTAGACATCAGATATAGAGATCCTAGAATGAAATGTATCACAATTTTCAGATGTACATTTAACAAGAATAAGTTAAATGTAGAATGGATTATGAAATCAAAATCATATAAGAAAGAATGGTTCAAGTAAGTGGGTGATTCAATGGCCATGATCATTGTGTTAATTGATGTTGTTGTATCCATAGGGTGGAAACAAAGTGGGTAAGAGAAATGGTGAAAGGTCACAAAAGATCTGATAGAAGTTGTTATCACAATGATGGTGATTTTGAGGCCTAATTTCTGTTAAAGTGGGACCATCAATGCCGGGAAACCTCAACATCAATTAGCTGTAATTGCATTCAATTTTGAAATGGTTACAAGTTTACCCACACAATTTCTGTGGTGCGTTGGTGACCAACATGGAGCAACCATACCAAAAGCTTGGCTAAATAACATAACTAAACTTATACTCCACAGCTTAAATAGTTACAACCATTACAGAAACCGAAATGAATTGTTGATTGAATGAAAGCAACAGCCACATTCTCTGCTTGATCTACAATTTCCTCCTCTGGAACTGGAACCAATCCATTATAGATTACAAAAGAAAATCACAAATGATGCCAAGGAAAATCATAAGATTTTATGCTTATTTTAAAAAACAAAATGATAGTTAAAATGAATTGCAGTACAGTATGATGTAAGTTTTGGTGTAATAAAATAAAAGAGAAGAAAGAAGAGAAAAAGAAGCCAGAGCCAGGGAAGAGGCAGTGCATGGGTGGAGCTAAAACAGGTAATCGGTTAATAGTTCCATCCATGCTCTGCCTGTTCCCCGTCTTTGTCTCTTGCTTCTCCTTCCAATTTTCACTTTACCTTAAATTGTCCCCGTCAACGTGTGAGCTACATAACATAAGCATCGTCAGGTTCATTCTGCAAGCCAAACTGGGAGCTTCTTGGTTGGGTGTATGCTGTCTATTGGGCCTTTATAGCCACAAAGGAAGTACACACATGTACTATCAAATTCTGTTTCAACCAGTTTACCATGTACTACTACTACCCACTTTCCAATTTCAAATTTGAGTTTCAGGATTACATGTACTACACTTTCTTGTACTACTGGTCAATTATTATTATGGTACTGTTGTGAGTTTCCTCATTCCAAAAGAGTAATAAATAATATATCTGCTCCATTTATAGAATATAGAGATGAAGTAACAAATATTTTGAACTGTAGAATAGAATGCCTAACTAACTTATGTCATGCCTGCTTATGGAATCCTCATAATGGAAACTTGGACCACCAAACGCTGCTTCTCAGTAGTTCACTTTGGAGAAGATAAAAATATAGTTAAGTACTGTGGAAAGAAAGATGAATTCCTTCTCTCTTTTTTTTTTTTTTTTTTTTCCCTTTTTCTCGTCTCCTCACGCATTCCATAAATTGAGGTTATGCTACCCTAAGACAATCAAATCAACCCCATTGGATTTTCGACAACTGATCTTTGAGCAAACATGTACCTAACTACTTCCCTAAATTTGATTTAACCAATAAAAGAACAAATTCAGGAAGTTCAGAGCTAAAATAAAATATTACACCAGTCAGTTAACACAACATAATAAAAACCTAGAGGTGACGACGAATACAACCTAATCAAAAACATATAAGGCCTACAACAAATAAAAAAGATGAGCAGTTCTGCCAGTTGATAGTAGGCAACAAAAGAAACAAAGTCGCTAAAAATAAATTTAGCATTCACAACCCACCTTAAAACAAGTTTTCCATATCCTTACATTAAAGTTAAAACTCAATTGTCCATCTACTCCATCCATTGGTCTCAGGACCCTAGCTCCATATTGACCAAAATCAGGTGCTGTACAATTAGCCTGCATCGCGACATAGTACATAGCACCTATGAATATACATGGCATGTTGCTCTGTTGTGCCCCACTCCGTTGCACTTGCTGCATCGAAGTGGTCTCTTCACAACACCTCTTGACCGTATTCTTCTCTTCTTGGGAGGGCCAGATAGTCGGAGGAGAGGAGGAGGGTGTACTTGAGCAGGTGTAGATTCTTTAGGCATAGGCTTATCAGCGGTTGGAATAGGATTAATTGATTCTGAATATGTTAACCGAAAAGCTTCAGTTGTATAATATTTGGAGCAATAATCATACAAATCCTTGCCAATATGTTGAAGGACAGCCACAGCATGGGAACATGGGTAACCATTCAGTTGCCATTCTCTGCAACTACAGTCCCACAGATCAACATTCACAAACTGCACTGTACCCAGACTATCGTGAACCTCAAAAGTATTACTCAGTCCTAATAAAACTTGAAGAGACTGTGCTTTGAGAATCTCTTTTTGTAATTTATCTTCCAAAGATGGAGTCAATCTTGTCAGCCACTGATTTGACTCCACCCTGCAATTGTACATCATCTCCATAATCTTACAGCGAATAGTATCAATGACATGTAGTATTGGTAATACAGGAAGCTCACTCACCCAACTATAAAATGACTTCGCAAAGTCACACACGTTGTGGTTGTATCGTGAACCTTCAAAAAGTGCATTTGCCCAATGTTCAGGTTCAGTTCGCAAAATCCAATCACATGCCTCAGGAGAGATATTTTTAATGCTCTGAATGCTTTTTCTAAATCCGTCAAGCGAGGCAGCCTGGGCTGCATCTTGCATATGAGCTATAACGACAGGTACCACTTCCTGAGTATATGTTCCATCAAACTGCTGCTTCAACTCCTCTATTAGATGATCAACGCAATAACCATGGAAAGAATTCTCAAAAATCAAGGGAATAGACTGCCTTAGCCCCATCTGTCTATCTGCCACAAATGTTATTGGTTGGCAGGTTGCCACCGCAGATTTTAGTTGCATCAAGAACCATTGCCAAGCAGCATCATTCACAACATCTACTACAGCAAAAGCAACAGGAAAGAATCCATCATTCCCGTCCAATGCTGTAGCAGTAAGTAGCTCTGACTGAAACTTTGATCTAATGGTCATAGTATCAAGGAAAATAAGGGGGCGGCAACCATTCTGGAAACCGACTAATGAGGCATGAAAGGCCACAAAGAATTGGTGGAAGCTTAAGTCCTCCCTTGTATTGAGAGTGACTACACTACCTGGATTTGTTTCCACTATCTTCTGACATAACCAAGGTAACTGATTGTATGAATCTTTGCATGATCCTTGAAGCTCCTTCCTGGCAGTCTCTATCCCACGCCATGCTTGACAATATCTTAATTCAATTCCAAAATCCCGACGAATTTCTTCAGCAATTTCTCTTGGTTTAGAATTAGGTGTTTCCAGCAACTTTTCCTTAACAATGGATGCCAGCAATTTCCTCGACGCCTGTGGACGATTTGCTGCGTCAGTACCCACTCCACATGTATGCGTTTCAGTTATTTTTTTAATTCGGAATAACTGTGTGGTTGCCACTCTTGATGCATGAATCCTCCAAGGACAACCTTCAGCTTTGCAATTAACAGTTACACGCCTACCTTCATTTTTCTTATAAGAGTATGTGAAGCCATGAGCAATTGAATATTTACTTAAAGCATCACGGAAGTCATGAACACTATTGAACTGCTGGTGCAGACCAGTTATGCCATTCTTCCATACTTTGAGTAGTTCCTGCTGCTCAGCATCCCCAACATTAGAAACTTCCAGATTTAAGTTATTGAATAACAGAAAGTTCCCAGCATTAGAAGGTGGTGGAGTCACGGTGCTGATTGGCCCAGTTTCTCCAGAAACAGAAGCATCAACAATTGCATTATTGCGAGGGGTAACGGACTCAGCAACAGTTGTCTTTCTGGACCTGAAATAACAAAGGTCAATGAGATGTCATGCAACAGTTAGTGTAATAAATGCTCATCTAAACTCTGACCACGAATCCTACGTACACATAGGTGGCTCATGAAAATTAGACAGAAGATAATTTCAACATAACCCAAAAAAATTAAAAATAAAAAGAGAGCAATTCTTCCTTATCCAGACTTAAAATTGCGCATACTACCTATTGCGAGGCCTAGGTGTGACATCAGTTGTTGGATTGTCATCTTTCATCACATATATATCAACGGTTGCAGAATCTTCATGAAAATCAATCATCCGTTGTATATCTTTGTTGCTCGATATGGTGATGAGCGTCTTCTTGTTATTTGGGAGAAAGTATTTCATAGTCAAGGCATTGGGATCATACTTCCACATATCTGCCATCTCTGACTTCAATTCATCAAATTTACTTTCAGTGCTTACAGTGATAGCATGAGCCTCCCCACCGTTATATAACAATGAACCATCACTGGATGTGGTAAACTTACCACCCGATTGACATATAACAACAAGCTTTCTCTTTACCATGGTTTCCAGGGAAGTGCCGATAACTGTTTAAAGAAAATAAAATAACCATTTATATCAAAAGAATAAAATACAATTAGTGAAAACCTTACATAATTTACAAGAGTCAATATTACAATACAGTGTATATGATTTGTAAAACCAACCATTACATTGCATGCTCTCGACATACTTACTGTGTTCACTAAATTTCAAATTTATCAGAAACATGGGGTTACTTGATGGAGATTGCGTTCAAAAGCAAAAGTTTATCACACACAAACATACCATATTAGATATTTGATTCATGTGATATTTTTGCATGTACACCGAGTGTTTATGTGAATTGACTTAACAATCAAATCCATGCAAAATTCATATAGAGAGTGCTGGTGATATTTGATCTGCAAAAGCCAAACCAAATTACACTTGGTGTAACACCTTCCTAGTTTACAGCCTTCAATATCTAAGAATTAAAATTCACAAACAAATCAACCTTTTGCACTTCAAGTCTATAATCCACATGCAGCTAATCCAGTTCTCTTCTGTTGAATGTTTTCATAATAACGTAACTAGAATATCAAATTACCACAGAAAATAAAACATTCGGTTCAAAGAAAGGTTAACGGAATCGAAACCCACAATAAAAAAAAAAAATAAAAAAAGCTAGGGTTTCGAAAGGTAATAATTTCATCAAAAACCCTAAACTTGAACACTATTCTCTTAAACCCCCAAAGAAAGTACGAATATCAACCAACAATTAAAAGATAAACCATACGGTATACACGAATCAAAAGAGTTTTCTTCATCTATGCAAATTTCTTCCACAGGTTGCATTGTTACAAAGATTCCGCCAACATGCGAAAACAAACTGTAAAAGAGAACAACAGAAAGAAAATATAAAAGTCAAAACTAACAGTGAGAAACCTTACCCAGAAACCCTAACTCGATACAAGTCTCAAACTTCCAATTGCTGAAATTTGGAGGTTGACAGGAAGGGCTAATATCGAAAATAAATTTCCCCGATTAATCGAAAATAGATCTGGATCTCAAAAGTCTTTTATTTAAAATTTTGTTGCTCGATTTTGGCTGCTCAGAGTATTTCAGGTTCAGGGAAACCAAATCCGAAAAGCATGTTAACCGAGGGTTTAAAATTATAATTTTCAACTTTTTTTAGACGATTATATCCCTGTGGTTATTTTACGCTGTGGTAAATGGGTACGGAACCTTGTTACCATAATAAGAAAATATATTTACGGGAAAACTGATAATTGGGTAATTGGATTAAGATTAATTAATTTTGATTAATGTTTTTGGTATGTCAAATTTTGTCTTATTCATATACATCTTTTTGACTTTGATGTATTGCTCAGAGAAGAATGGCTTGATTTTCAACAATTAAAATTTTATTCAAAAATAGTTACAGAAATTGAGAATTCTTTCAATTGATTATTATATACAAATTTTAAAATTAGTTATATCTAAAAATTGTTGGTAAAAAAATGTGTTTATTATATCTACTATTTTCAAAAAGAGAGAAACTGCATCTAAATGTTATATTAAACATGCTCTAAATTGTTAACACGTCATATTTTGATGTCTTATAATAACTGGACGATTTTTATGTCCAATTATTCAATTTAATATATTTTAGTTTTTATTTTAAAATATAATTTAATGATTTTTGTTTTTAATTGAAATAGACTTTGAAGAGTCTTTTTAGTATGTACCTTTTTTTTATTATTGAAACTGGAATATACTACATTTAGAATTTTGAAATTCTTCTCTACCATATAGCGTATCCCATACGCATTTTAGGGCACATTTAATCATAAAATTAAGATAATTAAGATGGTATTTTATGAAGAAAAAAATTAACAGTTTGGGAATTCAAATTTGAGTTGATTTTATTAAATTTATTCGTTGTTTTAATATTTGAAAAAAAAAATTATCATAATTATTGGTTTAGGTGAAAAGTAATTACTAATTACAGTACTTACTTAAATAATATTGGGTATGAATATGATATTTTTAAAATGATTTTCAGGTATTTTTAAGAAATAATTGAATTTAAAAGCTAGAAGCAAACGTATTAAAATAATTCTGAACACACACAAAGCATTAGCTGTCAGATTCTAAGTACACTCATAAGTGAAATCAGTCCAGTCTCCAGTCTCATTTGAATACATGATTTGACAGACCCAATATTTTTTCTGCCTAAAAAATTGAGCCCATAAAATCCAACACTCGGCCCAGTAAACTTTTTCTGGCCGATTCTTCCGTAATTTCCCTTGAGGGTTGGGTTTCTCTAATTAAACTTCACTTTGCTCACATCGCCATGGAGACTGGAGACCATAACCCATTATTATAGTCTAAATTGATCTTCATCATCTATTTATTAAATTTATTTTTTATTTTAAAAAATTTAATATTAATTTGAATTACTAAAAATAACATNTCCGCCAACATGCGAAAACAAACTGTAAAAGAGAACAACAGAAAGAAAATATAAAAGTCAAAACTAACAGTGAGAAACCTTACCCAGAAACCCTAACTCGATACAAGTCTCAAACTTCCAATTGCTGAAATTTGGAGGTTGACAGGAAGGGCTAATATCGAAAATAAATTTCCCCGATTAATCGAAAATAGATCTGGATCTCAAAAGTCTATTATTTAAAATTTTGTTGCTCGATTTTGGCTGCTCAGAGTATTTCAGGTTCAGGGAAACCAAATCCGAAAAGCATGTTAACCGAGGGTTTAAAATTATAATTTTCAACTTTTTTTAGACGATTATATCCCTGTGGTTATTTTACGCTGTGGTAAATGGGTACGGAACCTTGTTACCATAATAAGAAAATATATTTACGGGAAAACTGATAATTGGGTAATTGGATTAAGATTAATTAATTTTGATTAATGTTTTTGGTATGTCAAATTTTGTCTTATTCATATACATCTTTTTGACTTTGATGTATTGCTCAGAGAAGAATGGCTTGATTTTCAACAATTAAAATTTTATTCAAAAATAGTTACAGAAATTGAGAATTCTTTCAATTGATTATTATATACAAATTTTAAAATTAGTTATATCTAAAAATTGTTGGTAAAAAAATGTGTTTATTATATCTACTATTTTCAAAAAGAGAGAAACTGCATTTAAATGTTATATTAAACATGCTCTAAATTGTTAACACATCATATTTTGATGTGTTATAATAACTGCACGATTTTTATGTCCAATTATTCAATTTAATATATTTTAGTTTTTATTTTAAAATATAATTTAATGATTTTTGTTTTTAATTGAAATAGACTTTGAAGAGTCTTTTTAGTATGTACCTTTTTTTTATTATTGAAACTGGAATATACTAGATTTAGAATTTTGAAATTCTTCTCTACCATATAGCGTATCCCATACGCATTTTAGGGCACATTTAATCATAAAATTAAGATAATTAAGATGGTATTTTATGAAGAAAAAAATTAACAGTTTGGGAATTCAAATTTGAGTTGATTTTATTAAATTTATTCGTTGTTTTAATATTTGAAAAAAAAAATTATCATAATTATTGGTTTAGGTGAAAAGTAATTACTAATTACAGTACTTACTTAAATAATATTGGGTATGAATATGATATTTTTAAAATGATTTTCAGGTATTTTTAAGAAATAATTGAATTTAAAAGCTAGAAGCAAACGTATTAAAATAATTCTGAACACACACAAAGCATTAGCTGTCAGATTCTAAGTACACTCATAAGTGAAATCAGTCCAGTCTCCAGTCTCATTTGAATACATGATTTGACAGACCCAATATTTTTTCTGCCTAAAAAATTGAGCCCATAAAATCCAACACTCGGCCCAGTAAACTTTTTCAGGCCGATTCTTCCGTAATTTCCCTTGAGGGTTGGGTTTCTCTAATTAAACTTCACTTTGCTCACATCGCCATGGAGAGTGGAGACCATAGCCCATTATTATAGTCTAAATTGATCTTCATCATCTATTTATTAAATTTATTTTTTATTTTAAAAAATTTAATATTAATTTGAATTACTAAAAATAAAATTATAATTTTCAAATACAATCAAGTTCTATTTTATATTTTTGTTTTAATTTTTAATATTTAATTTTACATAAACTTTAACCCTAAGTTTTCATAACCTAATCCTAAATTTTCATAATCATTAAAACCTTTTGTTTGATAAAAATATAACACTAAAACTATAGAAAACATATCAAAATGAATCTAAATATGAAGAAGAAAAAATAAGTTAAAATTAAGAAATTGGGGGAAAAATATGTAAAGAAAAAACCTAATTAAGTTTAATTTAGGAAAACATGATGTAGAACAACAAAACCTAATTAAGTTTGAAGTGGGGAAAAATAAACCTAATTAAGCTTGAAAGGTTATTTTCAATATTCAATGAAGTTTAAAGAGATTTTTTATTTTAATTATAGAAGATGTATACTTAGCCATAGGGGATGAAGATCAATTAGATGGGGACTAAAAATCACTTCCCTTCATTATTAAATCATTTATATTTTCAATCCAATTTTATGTTCAATATATATTTATTTTGAAATAACTATTTAAATTGATAGTTAAATAACTGAAATATAAAATAAATACAAATATTTTTATCCTATCATATTTTTTTGTCAATAATAATCCCCCTCATTGACATTTTTTATAGTTGAGCAGACGCGGTGTTCTAACGCTTAGGGCCTTAGGCTCTCACAGCAGTCACAGTCACAGCCCAAGCCCAAGGTTGTCACAGCGTTATTCCCCCTTGTGAAATGGTTTTTTTTTTGTTTTTATTTTTGTGTCGGCAAGCAAAATCTGATTTCTCAAGAAAGATGGAATTCCCAATTGAGTAGCAAGTGTCCGTGCATATGGATGTCACACAGGAAATATGCAAAGTGCTTGGCTGGAAAGCAATGACATATTGTGCTTTAAGTCTTTATAAGTTACCAACATTAATTTGGCCCGTGAATGGCCTTGGCTCTTTGTTTGACATTACAAAATTAATCTGGTATACGGTAGATGCGCAATCACATATTCACATGGTAGGGACACTATTACACAAACATATTTTTATAAGTTATAATATGGAGACTTTTGAACTAAATCAAACTTTGTCTAAACGCGAACACACACTACCCCCTCTTCTCTTGTCCTTTAGTCGGTGCAGTATTGACATAAAACCAATCTTGATTGCTACCATTGTCTTTAGCTATCATTTCATTTGAAGAGAAGGACAAAAAAAAAAAAAACTTAAAAAGATCATTTTTTTTTTCGTTTTCAATGTGAAAACTGAAAATTTCAATTATAAGATCCTTTGATCTGCTAATGACAACCTGAATTGGGTTGGATAACGTAACGTAATGACTAAAAATTCCAGGATGAGGACGCCCTGCCCTTGTTGAGCTTGTGTGCCTCAATCCCACTCCTTTATCTGAAATATCACATATACGGATATATCCTCTTATAACTTTGGTCTTCAAAGGTAAAACTTAAAACTCGAATCCTTAACTATGTGAGAAGAACATCGAAGTCACTAAGTATCCACTCTGCCACTTCATCTTTGTTACTAACAAAAATTTCGGTACCCGTGTCTATTGATGTCCATATTCTTCTAGCAGGATGGCTACCTGGATCCTAAAATAAAACAGAGCCATATGAAGTCACAAACTGTGAATCCGATAAATTTCTAGCAGATAATTAGAATGAGTTATTTTAAAATACTAACCTGATAGAAGTATAATCTTTTGGATAGACCACCAACATCAAGCTCCCAAGTTCTTGCATCGCCTACCCAACCCTCTCCTTTTTTAGTTGGATAGCCATATTCAGCCCATATAGGGTGAGGCAACAACTGAACTATCTCCTGTGCCTGAGGATTACTGTAAGGATCACATCTGTCTACTTGTTCCAGCAAATGCCGAGCATTCCCAGGAGCACAGTAGTAATGGTAAGCTCCGTATGGGAAGTTGTGGGTATCATTCCGGTAAATCTTTATATTGTTAGGAGTAATATGATATGGCGGGCAATTCGTCACAGATGAAGGGCTGCACCAAGCTTGAGTTTCGGGGTTTATGATCATCTCGCTGTATCTGGTTACATCTGTTAGTACATCTCCATCACAGGCACGACCGTCATTCTTCCAGCAGCTGCCAATATCTGATAGGTAGAACTGGCTCTGTGGTCCTCCCCCACTTTTGATGTCTAAAGTCAATTTGACCTTGAAATTAGGTGACTCTGGAAGCTACAATACAACTAACCTTGTTAATTTCGTGTCATCAGGAAATATTGCAGCACAGAGAAGACAATTAACGGAGAGGTTCATTTATCCCTATCAAATTGCTAAAACCATTTTATACACTAGAAAACAAAGCTAAGCAATGAGCACAAAATGAATGTCAGAAAATAAAGCTGGAATCAGTTCAATCTGTAATCTAGTATCCAGGTGAGCATCTTAAACAGTATCTTCTCTGACTGCATCTAAAATAATATACTAGTTTGACATATTTTAAGGTTTAAAGAAACGTAAATTTGAAGGGATGATTGATTCTTTATATAAATAGTTTTTTGTCAGATTAGTTGGTAACCTGTGACACGAAGGTCGCGCTGCTGGGTCTCAAAAAGCTTAACATAAGCACGCACTCACAAATTGTATCTATAGGGCTCCTTTTTCCTACCACTACCACTACCAGGCACCAGCATCAATATTACGGCATTGTGACTTTGACTGAAACTAATTCAAAATCTGTAGACAGAGTACTTGTTGAACCAAGTCAAGGAATTAATTAAGAAAGAACATCATCTTTCCAAATTAGTTATCTAACTTTTAATTCAGGAAGAGCAGATTTTATGATCTACTGGCAAAAAGGAAAATGACAGATTAATTATTTCTGCCTTGCCCCAGCTTCAAAGTTACACCTGATTTGAAATCAGGATTAGTAAACAACGCAGGCTCACATTTAAGTACGTAGCTTTCCAATTATATGTTTCTTTTACTTATTAAACAAATGATTCATTTTCAAAACCACCAAGAAAACAACATCACTACCAACCAATTCAAGGAATACATACATTTTATTATCACAAGCAGCAATAAAATAAGACCCAACTTACCTCATAATATTCCCATTTAAGTAAAGCAATTATAAATATTGAAATTAAATAGGAATAAACCAATTATAGAATTAACTCAATTAAGACCCCAAATTTGTAATGTTGTTTGAAATGAATGGAGGAAAAAAAAAAAAAGATTCCAGAAGTGTATCTACTTACAGTCTTGAGCATTCCTCTGGTATCGTAATGGTAACCTCCAGAGAATCCTTGGGTAGCATCAGCTCTGAGGTAGAGCATCAACCATGGATACTTTTTGGAAGTCTTGAGCTTATGTCTAAAGGCCCAACCACCAGCACCTAATTTCTTCTCCCAAGCTACCTCATAGAAAGAAATCCCATCAAGTCCACCGCTAAAATCAGCTCCCAAATCATAAGTACCTCTAAAACTTCCTTTCATTGTACCATCATTCAATAATTGAGTTGGCTGATGGCTTAATATGGGTTGATTCATACATCCATGTCCAAAGCAAGGAAACCTTCCTGGTTTAAAAGGTGGTACCTTTTTCCCATTTTTAGGACACAAACCAGACGTTGTGTCATAGTTTCCATTTTTAAGCATAACCATCCAAAACTGCCATGGACTTGGGGTGTCTTCAACTTCGCATAAAGAACCCAAGTATTTTTCCTTCTCCGCTGCATAAAGGTCTGTGTTGTTCACAGCTATTGGTTTCAGCCCAGGAAATGATGTGCCCACCCCAAGTTTGTTAACGGCTTCCGACACCTTGTGTTCAAGAGAAGAACCTGCTCCACAATAGGTGAAAAATTAGTAAAGTAAAAGAGAAGGAAAAAGTGAGAATCCACCCCATTTCTTACGTCATTAGAAAGTAATCCCATTCATTAGTTTACAACAGCTCCAACAAGCGCATGCATCTAGAACATTCGCTGATAAAACACACCCATTTTTTTCAAAGATCCAGAAACTGATTCAAACGCTTGAGGAAAAAGAAATAAATAAATGAAATGAAAATGTAGAAAGAGAGACACACTCTGCGTTGAAATCTTGCGTTTCCGATATTTGGTGACCTTAGTGGATAGATCAAAACAATCAGCAGCTCTTGGGCTGCCCATGCCTGGAGCTTCTTCGCCGACTTCATTACAGAAGTTCCAAGCTTCAAATCCAAGTCTCAAACCATCTCTTCTCATTCCAGGGTCACCCACAGCCGAGATGTAATCTTTTGCTCCAACACTAGAAACAACACTCAACACTATGAGCACATACACATTTACCAAGAAAAACATCACATGCAGCTGTCCCGCCATGCCTATTTTCATGTTGCTCTGTTTCAAAAGCAAAGCAGATGAGGAGTGGTATCATACAGATACGTGCTTATATATGAAAACTCTGTGTGTGGGTCTGAGTTTGCAAGCGTTGTTGCCCTTTCATTACATTTTAATTTATTTTTTTTTTTTAAATTATTTATTCGGTATTAAATTAAAACTATGTTTAGAGTACAATAAAACAGAATATGTTTTGTCGTTATAACCCATATTTCCCTAGTTTTAGATCTCTTTACAGGCTTTTTAAGTGGAAGCTAATGAAAAGAAGTGATTAATGGCATTTTGAGATTTTCATGGAAAGTAGTTCGGTTTGATTTTTTGACTTCCGCTAAAAGCAAACAGTGTTAGGTGGGTTTCATTGGTCCACTCTACTTGTAATAGGTGGTATCCTGCTCATTAAAGATGAAATGCCATCCTGGATTTTTCTTTAAAATAGGCAAATAAGATTCATAAATAAGAAAGAGATAAATTCGTTTCAACAACTATCACAGTAGTGGATTTAAATCATCAAATATTATCACATGAGTATAACGCAATTGTAACAATGCCAAGTTCATTAATTCATTCGTTCATTATAAATTCTACCCAATGTTAGCTAGAGTGACTTGATACAGTAGACAAATTTCTAATCCCAACTTTGACAATGTATAAATAAAAATAAATTTTATACTGTAATAAGTTATAATTTCTTAAAGTCTTGTCTTAAAAAACTTGTTTTTATATAGTAATAATTATATTTATATTACAAAAAATATATATCATATTACATTAAAGGTTTAAAATAAAAGATAAAATCTAAACAATAATTCTTATAATTACACATCTATCAAATTATAACTTGTTTATACTAATAAATTTAATTTATCCTAAGATTATAATTATAAAAAAGTTCTATTGAATATTAGTATATATTTAACTACAAAGTGCCGCCTTATTATTTTAGTATTACGTAGCTCCAGGTTCGGTTAAGCGAGATGCAGCTAGGGATATGCGGATTCGGTGACATGTTATCTTATCTTGCCGCCGCTATCCAGTGAAACAATTGTTCCTTCATCCTGTGCCGTTGTGCCCTCCAGTTAATGCTTCTTTACTCTCCTTGTGAATTTATTTATATAAAAAAATGAAGTGGGCAACTAATTGGTGGGTTTTGTCAACTAATTATTCACTTAATCTAATTGTCATGCATGCACATAATTGAAAAGCACAGACTAACTAATTATGATATATGTATATATATAAATGAGGCGAGAATGGATCATCTAATGGGGATGAAAGGAACTGGTGTTACGTATTAGGTACTCAAAAAAGAAGCTTGGCTGACACATGCTTACAGACACTGACTTCTATAAAAAATGGTGTTCATCTGTTGCAACCCCGACTCATTGCCTCATCTGTTTTGTATTCTTTAACAGTTTCCACTTCCCCCTCTATGAAGTAGATAACCGGGAATATCTCAAATTTTTTAAACTTGAAACATTGCGCGTTGTTTTCAGACTCATCTTCTTTTGAATTGTTGTGTGTGTTAGTAATAAATTGACCAAAGAAAGGTTCTCTCAACTAACAAAGAATACCAAGAAGAAAGATACTAGAGTGAATTGAATATTTTTAATTACTTTTTTGTTCCATAGCCAATGTCAAGATTCAAAGTGAATCTGTTATACTTAATCACATTTTTTTTTTCTCTTAAATCTGAAAATTTTCAATAAATGAAGCCGTGTCCTTTGGACTTGCATTAAAATATCAATCAATGGATGGAGAGTAGGTTCAGTTAGGAGATCTATCAAACCTGCAACCATCATTGTGAAATCTATTTTGTTCTTTATACGCCAAGTCTTCATTTTATGATGGTTTCCCTGACTTTACATGCCAAAACGTTTCGTTCCACATCTTCTTCTCAAAACAAACAATTCTTTCAACTTCATTTTCACATCACATATGGACAAGGACAACAGTTTGATGGATAAAGACGCATACTTTATCACAAGTAGTAAACAATAATAGTTTCTGGGCTAGTTGTGCGGCAGGGCAATGCAAGTGATAAGGAAATAGCATTCAATAGCTCATAATTATAACCAATTGAATCATTGATTCACACATCACCAAAAAGGAAAAAGGGGGTGTCTTGTTCCTTACCAAATCTTGTGGGGTTCCATGTGGAATTATCGATAAAAGAGAGCAGCTCTGAGGGAACTCTTTCAATTGTATTTTAACCGTTCAAAGTAAAGATTCCGAAATTATTGCTTTGTTCAGCTAATATGATTAGGCATATATGCCCACTAGTAGAATCAGAACTGGGCCATTTACATGTGGATTCCATGTGATGCTCTCACTCCGCCTAAAGAAACGGGCCGAGTTTGGTTGAGAAGCAAACCATTCAAAAAGGAGATTGGGCCCTCTCACCCAATGACTCATCATGCAAATTGCTAAAGCACATCACATGCTATACTATGGTTCGTGAGTATATCATTACTATTGTGAAAAATATTCCTCCACTTTCTCCGATGAACAAATTTTTTTTTTTTTTTTATATATACATATATACAACTTTGTCTCTTGTCATCCTTTTTTCGGCTGGATAATCCTTGCAATTTTGGCAAATATCACATCTCTTACATTCTAATCTTGCAAATCATCCATCATTGTCATTGTGTTGTCAATAATCTATTCATTACGGTAATTTGGTAGGCTATCTTGTCGTCTTAATTAACTGGGTTTGTAGCAAGGGCCCAAAACTTATTCATACACAGAGAGGTATTATCACAGGCAATGTTTTAATAACCAACATGTGGAGCAACCATAAAAGTTGTCAGGTCCGGGTTGCCAAGTGTTAAAAATTTACCAAATACACGCACACCATTGTTTTGTCCCTACAGGTTTGAAATTTAACAAACACACCCCAAATACAAATCGACGACACACCAAATACAATTTCAATCATCCCTTGAGCCCATGCCCTAGAAAATCTATCCAAGATTTGGCTGAAATCAACTGATTTAGGTCAAATCTAACCAACGTCAACGTAGATCGATTATAGCCAGATCTCACAACCGACGGCGTCAACAACCCTCCCTATCACCACAAAAAAACTCCCCTCAGCCTCTTGATCAAAATTCATCTCACCCTATCCCCGTTCACCTCGTTCATCAAAATTCATCTCACCCTATCCCCGTTCACCTCGTTCGATTGATTAATACTAAAATAAAGACGTTTTATCATTGTTAGAGGTCAGAAAATGATGTATAGGACGATTAACCAGTTGACAAACGAAGGCAAACACGGCTTTTCTATAACCAATCAAATTTCTTACCAGACTATCATTAAAGAAGCCGATAAAAATTAAAATACATAAAGGTCTCTTATCTCATCATCCTGGGCATTCCTATATGCAAATCATTAATAAAAAAATCATACTTGGCAAAATCCTTTCGAAGATAAATAATCGATTAGGGTGTGACTTCTCCGCCTGGAAATTTTAAATATTCAATGTCCTAATCCTAACTGATCTACAGACCCACACAAAAGAAAAGAATGCATAAAGTTAAATTTTTTTCACTACATTTCTCAGCAAAGTCAATACATATATACATCATAAAATCATATTTAAGAGCCTCTATGAGATTAAAACTCTCTAGTTTGGGTTCTCAAGAGAACAACCATCTCATCATCTCCTCTTTCTACCACTTCCTTTTTTCTTCCAAGAATGTACCATCTAAAACTAATATAATACAGTTTATGCACTTAAGTGAATGATGCATGCAAATTTGCAATTCATCATCGACCAACTACGGTATTTCTTAAGACTCCACACTTATATTTTTCATTTTCCTTGGCATGAAAATGCTCAGAGCCTCAGATTACCAAATATTTCTCTGTGTATTTATGTCACTTCCGTAATAAGATGATAAACCCTGAATCCTCTATTGAAATAACATGAATATAAATCATTCTTTTACTGTCAAAAGCTATCCTCCAAAAGACGAGGCAATGTTATTTTCCCAAAGTTGCTAGGATCAAGCTTGCTAAACTGGTTGCAAATCTGCATTATATCTTTCTCCCCAATCTTTCCCATCTCCTTAAGCTTGTAGATAACATATTCTGATTTGCTGAAAACAAAAGGTTTAAAAACAATGGACCTGAGATTGCGTTTGATTTAATTTGTTCTAAAAAACAAAGAATTGATATTTATGTTATCATTGACAACTGACAAGACATCATGGAAATTTTACACCTCAGAGTACCTAACAATAGCAGAGTCTTCCTGATCATGATATTGGTTCTGCAATTTTTACTTGCTCTAAAATGAATCAAATGTGTTGCACAATCTCCTTTTAAGATATATAAGAAGTGCTAACATCTCAATTAAAACAATTCTCGCCCTTAGTTAATCAAAAGGAATCCTATCAATTATTGTTTTACTATTAACCTAATTTTGACATAATAACTAAAGCTTGAAAACGCATTAATCTAAGAACTCGTCAACCTGTAGATGTATTTCAAACTATTAACAATTCTCACCTAGTTCAATCTGCATGCATTCATTGTTGAAAAACTAAGCATAAATCTACTGAAATGAACAAGTTATATTCAATATTCACCATAAATCCACTATTTTCCCCGATAAAAATCGAATAAAGTAACTCCAACAGCAAATCAAGAGTCAAATCTGAGCAAAGAAGATATAGAACCTCACCTAATGAAGCCATTGTTGTTGATATCAGCAGCAAGCAAATCCTCAACAGTGATATCTCTGTGCAACACCCACTTAGCAATCCTCCTGTGCCTCTTATCAATTCTTGCCTCAGTCAAGTACAAAAACGCCCGCGCCACCATCAAGGTCGAAAACAAAAGCCAAACTGCCGCGAATAACCGTCCAGGCAAGGTCTTAAATGCCTTGTCTCCATATCCAACCGTAGTCACCGACATAACCGATAAATAAACCGAATCAAGCAAATCAAGATCCTCCACGAAGAACAAGATTAAAGCTCCGACACCAATACACAAAACCACTACACCAAGTGCCAAACCAACTTTCAATCTTATCCTCATCCTTCCTTTGGCCACGTCAACAATGTAATTTCTTGCAGAAAATCCTTGTTCTGCTTTACCCATTTGTATGCCAGTTAATATCATGTTTTCTTGAAGATCAAGAACATAATTCACCAGCCCACTTAGTAAAATATCTATAAATCCAAAGCCCACCAAGACGAAAACACAAGCAAAAACTTTTGTTGCTGGCGTTAAAGGAGCGATGTCACCGTAGCCAATAGTGCACATGGTGACAATACAGAAGTAGAGAGCATCAACAACTGGGTGAGTTTCTACACCTGAGAAATTTTCCGTGTTAAAAGAATATATGGTAACACCAAGTAAAAGGTATAAAGTAAGCAAAAACACAGCTTGTCTGATTATGGAGCTGGACTCTGATTGTGGTTTAGGAACTTGGTGTGTTTTATGTTTAGTATCACAAAAGACGACCATGGCTGGAGCAGTTTTGCATCTGTGAAGTGAACCCGGTTTCTTGGTTCGGTTCTCAAGATCAGTTGTTGAAGACTGCGGCATTTGTTGTTGTGGATGGTCTTGGATTTCATTGAAGATATAAGGACTAGAGAGAGATTGTTGAATTGGGAATGAGAAGTCACGGTCATGTTCTTCTAGAATAACACCGAGATGTTGGGGTTTTGTTTGGGAGTCAAGAAAAGGCTCTTTCTCCATCTGCGGAAAAGAAAATGCATAGGAAAGAAAAGAAAATATTTTGGATTTGTGGAACGAGATGGCTTATGCTTCTGGACCTGCGGTTGTTGGAGTGTTGTGTCTGATTGGCTGTTTTGCCTGTTCACATACTCCAGTGGCCAGCCTATCATAGGCTAGCTTGGACCCACTGATAGAGATTAGAGACCTTAAACTCTAATTAGTGTTATTTCCTTCGCAATAATAATGAATCCATGGTGATGGTGCTTAATGCTTCTTTACTCTCCTTGTGAATTTATTTATATAAAAAAATGACGTGGGCAACTAATTGGTGGGTTTTGTCAACTAATTATTCACTTAATCCACTTGTCATGCATGCACATAATTGAAAAGCACAAACTAACTAATGAAGATATATGTATATATATAAATGAGGCGAGAATGGATCATCTATTGGGGATGAAAGGAACTGGTGTTACGTATTAGGTACTCAAAAAAGAAGCTTGGCTGACACATGCTTACAGACACTGACTTCTATAAAAAATGGTGTTCACTGTTGCAACCCCGACTCATTGCCTCATCCGTTTTGTATTCTTTAACAGTTTCCACTTCCCCCTCTATGAAGTAGATAACCGGGAATATCTCAAATTTTTTAAACTTGAAACATTGCGCGTTGTTTTCAGACTCATCTTCTTTTGAATTGTTGTGTGTGTTAGTAATAAATTGACCAAAGAAAGGTTCTCTCAACTAACAAAGAATACCAAGAAGAAAGATACTAAAGTGAATTGAATATTTTTAATTACTTTTTTGTTCCATAGCCAATGTCAAGATTCAAAGTGAATCTGTTATACTTAATCACATTTTTTTTTTCTCTTAAATCTGAAAATTTTCAATAAATGAAGCCGTGTCCTTTGGACTTGCATTAAAATATCAATCAATGGATGGAGAGTAGGTTCAGTTAGGAGATCTATCAAACCTGCAACCATCATTGTGAAATCTATTTTGTTCTTTATACGCCAAGTCTTCATTTTATGATGGTTTCCCTGACTTTACATGCCAAAACGTTTCGTTCCACATCTTCTTCTCAAAACAAACAATTCTTTCAACTTCATTTTCACATCACATATGGACAAGGACAACAGTTTGATGGATAAAGACGCATACTTTATCACAAGTAGTAAACAATAATAGTTTCTGGGCTAGTTGTGCGGCAGGGCAATGCAAGTGATAAGGAAATAGCATTCAATAGCTCATAATTATAACCAATTGAATCATTGATTCACACATCACCAAAAAGGAAAAAGGGGGTGTCTTGTTCCTTACCAAATCTTGTGGGGTTCCATGTGGAATTATCGATAAAAGAGAGCAGCTCTGAGGGAACTCTTTCAATTGTATTTTAACCGTTCAAAGTAAAGATTCCGAAATTATTGCTTTGTTCAGCTAATATGATTAGGCAGATATGCCCATTAGTAGAATCAGAACTGGGCCATTTACATGTGGATTACATGTGATGCTCTCACTCCGCCTAAAGAAACGGGCCGAGTTTGGTTGAGAAGCAAACCATTCAAAAAGGAGATTGGGCCCTCTCTTGACTCATCATGCAAATTGCTAAAGCACATCACATGCTATCCTTGCAATTTTGGCAAATATCACATCTCTTACATTCTAATCTTGCAAATCATCCATCATTGTCATTGTGTTGTCAATAATCTATTCATTACTGCAATTTGGTAGGCTGTCTTCTCGTCTTAATTAGCTGGGTTTGTAGTAAGGGCCCAAAACTTATCATACACAGGGAGGTATTATCATAGGCAATGTTTTAATATCCAACATGGGGAGAAACCCATAAAAGTTGTCAGATCCGGGTTGACTGGTTTAATTGGCCCATCAGACAAAGTATCAAAAATTTTAAAATTTAACAAACACACTCCAAATATAAATGGATCGTCAATTGGTTGGTTATGATGACACACCAAATACAATCTCAATCATCTCTTAACCCATCTCCTAGAAAATCTATCTAGATCTAACCAACACCAGCGTAGATCAATTTCAACCAGATCTTACAACCGCCGACGTCGACAACCCTCCCCATTATCACAAAAATACCCTCCTCACCCTCAATTGGTTAATACTAAAATAATACTAAAATAAAGACGTTTTATCATTGTTAGAGGTCAGATAATGATGTATAGGCTGATTAACCAGTTGACAAACGAAGGCAAGCATTACTTTTCTATAACCAATCAAATTTCTTACCAGAATATCATTTAAGAAGCGGATAAAAATTAAAATACATAAAGGTCTCTTATCTCATCCTCCTGGACATTCCTATATGCAAATCATTAATAAAAAAATCATACTTGGCAAAATCATTTTGAAGATAAATAATCGATTAGGGTGTGACTTCTCCGCCTGGAAATTTTAAATATTGAATGACCTAATCCTAACTGATCTACAGACCCACACAAAAGAAAAGAATGCATAAAGTTAAAATTTTTTCATTACATTTCTCAGCAAAGTCAATACATATATACATCATAAAATCATATTTAAGAGCCTCTATGAGATTAAAACTCTCTAGTTTGGGTTCTCAAGAGAACAACCATCTCATCATCTCCTCTTTCTACCACTTCCTTTTTTCTTCCAAGAATGTACCATCTAAAACTAATATAATACAGTTTATGCACTTAAGTGAATGATGCATGCAAATTTGCAATTCATCATCGACCAACTACGGTATTTCTTAAGACTCCACACTTATATTTTTCATTTTCCTTGGCATGAAAATGCTCAGAGCCTCAGATTACCAAATATTTCTCTGTGTATTTATGTCACTTCCGTAATAAGATGATAAACCCTGAATCCTCTATTGAAATAACATGAATATAAATCATTCTTTTACTGTCAAAAGCTATCCTCCAAAAGACGAGGCAATGTTATTTTCCCAAAGTTGCTAGGATCAAGCTTGCTAAACTGGTTGCAAATCTGCATTATATCTTTCTCTCCAATCTTTCCCATCTCCTTTAGCTTGTAGATAACATATTCTGATTTGCTGAAAACAAAAGGTTTAAAAACAATGGACCTGAGATTGCATTTGATTTAATTTGTTCTAAAAAACAAAGAATTGATATTTATGTTATCATTGACAACTGACAAGACATCATGGAAATTTTACACCTCAGGCTCAGAGTACCTAACAATAGCAGAGTCTTCCTGATCCTGATATTAGTTCTGCGATTTTTACTTGCTCTAAAATGAATCAAATGTGTTGCACAATCTCCTTTTAAGATATATAAGAAGTGCTAACATCTCAATTAAAACAATTCTCACCCTTAGTTAATCAAAAGGAATCCCATCAATTATTGTTTTACTATTAACCTAATTTTGACATAATAACTAAAGCTTGAAAACTCATTAATCTAACAACTCGTCAACCTGTAGATGTATTTCAAACTATTAACAATTCTCACCTAGTTCAATCTGCATGCATTCATTGTTGAAAAACTAAGCATAAATCTACTGAAATGAACAAGTTATATTCAATATTCACCATAAATCCACTACTTTCCCCGATAAAAATCGAATAAAGTAACTCCAACAGCAAATCAAGAGTCAAATCTGAGCAAAGAAGATATAGAACCTCACCTAATGAAGCCATTGTTGTTGATATCAGCAGCAAGCAAATCCTCAACAGTGATATCTCTGTGCAACACCCACTTAGCAATCCTCCTGTGCCTCTTATCAATTCTTGCCTCAGTCAAGTACAAAAACGCCCGCGCCACCATCAAGGTCGAAAACAAAAGCCAAACTGCCGCGAATAACCGTCCAGGCAAGGTCTTAAATGCCTTGTCTCCATATCCAACCGTAGTCACCGACATAACCGATAAATAAACCGAATCAAGCAAATCAAGATCCTCCACGAAGAACAAGATTAAAGCTCCGACACCAATACACAAAACCACTACACCAAGTGCCAAACCAACTTTCAATCTTATCCTCATCCTTCCTTTGGCCACGTCAACAATGTAATTTCTTGCAGAAAATCCTTGTTCTGCTTTACCCATTTGTATGCCAGTTAATATCATGTTTTCTTGAAGATCAAGAACATAATTCACCAGCCCACTTAGTAAAATATCTATAAATCCAAAGCCCACCAAGACGAAAACACAAGCAAAAACTTTTGTTGCTGGCGTTAAAGGAGCGATGTCACCGTAGCCAATAGTGCACATGGTGACAATACAGAAGTAGAGAGCATCAACAACTGGGTGAGTTTCTACACCTGAGAAATTTTCCGTGTTAAAAGAATATATGGTAACACCAAGTAAAAGGTATAAAGTAAGCAAAAACACAGCTTGTCTGATTATGGAGCTGGACTCTGATTGTGGTTTAGGAACTTGGTGTGTTTTATGTTTAGTATCACAAAAGACGACCATGGCTGGAGCAGTTTTGCATCTGTGAAGTGAACCCGGTTTCTTGGTTCGGTTCTCAAGATCAGTTGTTGAAGACTGCGGCATTTGTTGTTGTGGATGGTCTTGGATTTCATTGAAGATATAAGGACTAGAGAGAGATTGTTGAATTGGGAATGAGAAGTCACGGTCATGTTCTTCTAGAATAACACCGAGATGTTGGGGTTTTGTTTGGGAGTCAAGAAAAGGCTCTTTCTCCATCTGCGGAAAAGAAAATGCATAGGAAAGAAAAGAAAATATTTTGGATTTGTGGAACGAGATGGCTTATGCTTCTGGACCTGCGGTTGTTGGAGTGTTGTGTCTGATTGGCTGTTTTGCCTGTTCACATACTCCAGTGGCCAGCCTATCATAGGCTAGCTTGGACCCACTGATAGAGATTAGAGACCTTAAACTCTAATTAGTGTTATTTCCTTCGCAATAATAATGAATCCATGGTGATGGTGATCACTTTGTGACGTAAAAAAGAGGAGGAGGAGAATGGGCTAAATCCACGTGTAAAGTCAAAAGGTATTAAATAAGTATGTCTTATTTAAATGGTTAAATTTTTTATTACAGAAAAACTCAAAACATTCGCTGTAGGTTGTCGCCAAATTAAGCTATGTTAAAGATAATATTTCGATGGCAATTAATTAGATAAAAGCAGCCATTCGGCTGTTGGTGGCCACACTAAACATGAGATTAGTATGTTGTACGGAAGAGGGACCAACCGACAAGTGTCCTAAAACAAAAGCAAGCAGGGATTCAATAACTCGATCTATAAAGTGTAACATAGGACAGCGCTGGAGAAATAATTGTGTGTACTCTGCGATCTGGATCCTTCCTTTTATTTCCCCCTTCCAAATTATTTTTATTTACTTCATATTTTCTCTTGGCGAAAATCGATACACATCGATTAATTGATTCTGGTCCTGTGATTGTGTTCATATGGCAACCCAAGAAAGAAAGAAAAAACAAAACCACGTTGTGGATAGCAAGACATCTTAGAAGGTATATACAATCCACCTAAAACAAGGGAAAAAATATTTTATTAATTTTATATTATTAATGTGTGATTTTGATACCAATAATTATATAATATAAAGTATTATAAAATTACACGTGAGATAATTGTGAGATGTGTTTATAATGTAATGATGATGTTTGTTTATTAATATGTAAATAACAAATTGATAAGAGAGATTTTTAAAGTGATTCAGATGTTATGAGCAAGTAGAACGTCCATTGTAATTATATTATAGTTTCTTTTGTGATTGTTAGTGATGATTACAAAGAGAGCGATCTTTGGTAGTTACAAGTGTTTGAAGTGTTCTAAGAGAATAATTAGCTAGTCTCTTTCTAGTAGTGTGTCTTTGTTATTTTTTTTGTAAAGTACGTATATAAAATCGATCCCTTCAATCCCGTTTTGAAGAGTAAAGTTACCTATTTATACTATTTTCAGCTCAAAGTAATAAATGCTTTTACAAGTTACCTTGATTTAGTAAAGATCTTCCTTCATTCTATTCATTGAGAGCTATCCACACCCTTAAATTTTGAAATTCTGGCAAATAGCTCCACAAAATATCCCTTTGAGTCGATTTAAGGATCAAACAAGTATTATTTTTTGCCTTCAAGCGCTTGGAATCCCGGTTGGTGGAGATACATGCTGAGAGTTGATTGATGGAGTGCTCATTGATGGAGAAGTTTTTTGAACCTTGATGGGTGGAGATGACATCAGCATTATTTAGGCATAACACATGTTATGAGCCCCCTATACCATTGTCTCCACCTCAAATACATCAATTTTTTCTATGCAAACACTATTATAAAAGTTTTTGAGTAAATACTGGAAGAGGTGAGTCAGGTCAAAGTGCGATGGCAAACTGCAAACTCATTTAAATTAATTAATGTCTACGTTTTATTGCATTTCACAGATCCTTTTAGCACACGGGCTGGGCTATTGATTGAGGCATTATGAATCAATTAACTTGAAACTCTGATGTCTCAAACAACCCCTTCTCCGCACTTTCCTTAGAAGGCAATCACGCTAATTGAGTAACAATTGCTGCAATACACACAAAAACCTAGCAGTTCCATTCCCGTCAGGATGCGCCATGTTTCTATAGACGCTCCACTTTAAACATTAATTATTCACTAAGTTGAAGAAACTTCTAAAGTTTCTCCAAACAAATTACAGGCACCATATTGAAATTTCAAAAAGTTGGGAGTCCCTGAACTACATTCTACAACTATAACTATTTCAACTGAATTATGTAATATCTCAACTCCTAACTATATCAAGTCATAAAAAAGCAACTAACACATAATATACAGAAAGCAAGACCCAGCCATACGAAAATGTGATGTTATTCCTCAACAATAATTTCTATATCAAGTCGTAAAAAAAAGTAACTAACGAATATAATATACAGAAAGCAAGACTAAGTTATCCAGTCCGGGTTACCAAACCAAAGTTAGACTTCCAAGCAAAGTTCCAACTTGTTTTAAAATATAAACTTCCTAGTCTTATGTATATAAAAGATGATTCAAGTCATGTTATAACAATGTGCTTCCATCCTAGCTTTTCTTATTATACTCTATCCACACCATGACTCTGTGTGTAATCAGATCAAATCGAAGCCTCGTTAAGCCGGCTGAAAAAACACCATTTGGAATATTAGAACTATCAGCCATCGATAGAATTCCAGTTCTAAGATGCAATGCTCGAACGTTACATGTGTTTAGACATGGCCCTGAAGCAGCTCAAGTGATAAGAGGAGCTTTGTCCAGGGCATTGGTTCCTTACTATCCGCTTGCAGGAAGGCTAAAGGAGTCGAGCCAAGGTCTACTTCAAATTGAATGTTGTGGAGAAGGAGCATGGTTTGTTGAGGCATCTGCTAGTTGTACCCTGGATTCTGTCAATTACTACAATGATGTTTCATCCATCCCGTATGATGAACTACTTTCTGATTCTGTTCCAAAAACCGAGGGCATGGAACCACTTGTTCAAATGCAGGTACCATATGAACAACCAATTCATAATAATTTACTACTATAAAACAAATTTAATTTATTCCTATTTATTAACTCAATGTGAAGACCTCAATAAAATATTCACGAATGGTTTTTCTAAAAGCAACTAACAACCATTAGCATAAGAACAGTATCTTAGAAAAATATTTTTAAACTCGATTCTCTTTTCAGGTGACACAATTCGCATGTGGTGGGTTTGTGATTGGTCTCACATTCTGCCATGCTATATGTGATGGCCTAGGAGCTGCACAATTCCTAAATGCTGTTGGGGAGATGGCAAGAGGCCTTGAGCATCCCAGCATAGCACCCGTGTGGCACAGGGATTTTTCTCCATCACAACCTCAGCTAGAAGATGCCACTCAATTGCCAAATTTACCACCACCAATGCCAAGTTACCGGCTAGAGCATGCCAACATAGACATTTCCATGAATCACATCAACCAGCTGAAGCGTCAATTTCATGAGTCAACAGGCCTAACTTGCTCTGCCTTCGAAGTTGTAGCTGCCACTTTTTGGAGACATAGAACACGAGCAATAAACTTTGAGAAGAAAACTGAAGTGAAGCTTGTTTTCTTTGCAAATTGCCGCCAACTCTTGGACCCTCCTTTGCCTAGAGGTTTCTACGGCAATTGTTTCTTCCCCGTGACTATTACAAATTCAAGTGAATGGCTTGCACAAGCAACAAATGTTGATGTGGTAAAACTGATTCAAGAAGCAAAGACTAAGCTACCTTTTGAGTTTGTTAAAAATATGAATGGAGATTATACAAGGAACGGTGAGGACCCATTTGCACCACCACTAAGTTACACCACATTGTTTATATCAGAGTGGGGTCGACTTGGATTCAATCAGATTGACTATGGATGGGGACCACCTGTACACGTGGTACCAATTCAAGGCTCTAGCGTCATACCTGTTGGGATAGTGGGGTCACTGCCTTTGCCTGATATGGGCATCCGTTTGATGACGTGGAGCGTTGAAGAGGCCCATCTCCAGCCCTTCATCCACCTCATGACCACACCGATTTGATTGTATTTTTAATTTACTTTCTTTTTAATTGTTGGTTTGATATTATGAATTACAATAACTACCATCTTCATCAAGAGAGTCGAAATGTAATAAACAAGTGCCAATTAACAAATAATTTCTGAGTTTTTCTGACTGGTTCATACAGGCCCAAAAATAAATCAGAGATGATTGGATGAATGCTGTCTGAATCTGATTAATAAATAGAAGGGAACATTTCGCATTCCCATGAAGCAGCTTTAGCGATAATTTCGGGACTTTCGCCTACAGTCATAGAGTTTCACCGCCAAAAAATATTGGACCAAAAGTGGAGGCATTCACATTCCGTCCTTTTTTAATATCACTTTTTTTTTTTTAATTAAATTTTTTATCAGTCTTTAAAACTATGAGAAACTATTAAAAGCTCAGTCACTTTCATAGTTCAAAAACATTGTTCGAGGTTCAAGACCGGAGCTTCAATATTTTTACTCGAGTTTTGAGGCGTTTAGTTTATCAACTAGTGGTTGCAGCAGTCCGGTGGAGGCACAACAATCAGGCCGAGCCGATAAGACATGATCTTGGATCAAATAAGTCACCTATGAATATGGTCCTATGGAACAGCCCAAATTTTGGGTCCGTTATAGCTGAGCCCAGTTTGTGGTTACTCTGGTTCTTTGTTCTAGTTTTTGGGCCTAAGTAGAAGCCCTTAATTAAGATGTGGACAACGGTGGGTAGGCAAATATCCTCAGTGGGTCTGCTCCTCCGTTTATATTTTGTATTTACACGTCTTTTGTATTAATTGGGAAGACAGAAAATCAGCATTAATTACCCTTCTAGAAGACAAAGTTGGGTAATTACAGCTGAAAAGCTCAGAGACAACGAGGAGTTAGAACATAATTGTCATAAATTTAATTCGTGAAAGAAGCATACAAACAAGAAGAAAAATTATTCGTCAGGCGTGTTTAGTCATACAGGAATCTGTTGATGAGTTATTGGGAGAAAATGACAAGAATGAACATGTTTAAATAATAGATAAGAATTGATCAAAACACTGCTGCTTGGCTGGAGGAGCAGAGCTTTGAATTCATTATAGAAACGCACTGGAAGCGAGTTGAATTATAGGGATGACAATTGGACGCATGAACAGATGTTAAGGTCGGTGCCTCCCATACTTCCCACACCTCACCAACACCAAAAGGGTAAAACAAGATGGACTGAGATGAGACAAAATAAATAATAATTGAATTATAATGAAACACAATATTTAGGTACAAAGTCATCCTCCAACTCCATTGCTTCAGGAGAATTATATAACTTTGATTGCTCCAAATTAGCAAGCAACAGCTCAGTGGATTTAATGTTGATTCGGTAGTCAAACAAAGAGTCATTTTTCTTTTTTGGCGGGACAGATACTTGGTTAGGTTTGTGTAAAATTTCCTAACAAAACTACTATTGGGTGACCTGATAATGAAAAAACAATAAGAGATTTTATGAGCTCTTGTGTTTGAGATCCCCTAAGCACTAATAGGGATAACTACTGAGGTTTTTATCCGATCGACAGTTCTAGGATCCCGATAGATTAGTTTACGTGAATTAAGTTGGTCCGGACACTCCTAGTGTACAGTATGTTAATAATAATAATATTAATGATAATAACAATAAAAGAATTTAACTCTGGTTTTTGACCTTTTGGGAAGATGCAGTATTGCAATTGTGAATTTGTGATTGGCACTGAGAATGCTTGTGAAAAATTATTTTAGGTTATAAATGAATATCCACAACCTATCTGCTTTTCTACATTATTGTGGCTTACACTTAACAGATTCATGATCCCAACATTGACCATTTAAATCTTCAGCAGTCACAAAAAGTTGTACATCTTCGTCCCCTTTTTCCGTTGTGCTAGAAATTTACTCAAGTGAAGGGCTGCGCTGGCCCCGCCGGCCGACTGCTCCGTTTAGAAAACGCAGTGTTTTTTTTTTTTTTTTTTTTTCTTTTTTTTCCTAGGCTTTCATGTTTTATTTTCCTAACATTTAGTTAATTAAATCAACCAATACTAGATATATGTAAATTTTTGCATTTATATGGCCAACTGTAGCTTATTTATCAATTAAGCTTTTGGTTTTGTCCCTATTTAATGGAGTTTATATATACCACGTATTTAATAATTAAGCAATGGGAGTGTGGAATTTCTTAGTGGATGGGACATAAAGAAGCATCCGATAATTCCTTTTTTTTTTTTTTTTTAAAGGGAAGAAGAAGAGAAAAAATCACAGTTACTATTCCGAAAATGACTACTCACAATCCACGTAATTTCCGGGGGAATTTTCTATTGTAATGTAAAGAACAATTCGTTTGACTACCGAGCGAGCAAGACCCACAGCCTTGTGGGCATTAAATTTAGAGTAAATGACATGTACCCACCCAAGATTTGGTGAATCTACAAGTTTCTGTCATTGGTTTTATAAATTTCATGTTCCCACTCTTAGATTAACATTTTAGGGTTTGACACAATATATAATATGTTATTACCAAATTACCCTTTAACTTTTACTTTTAATTGAGACGGCTAAATATCGAAAACTTTCCTGAAAGATGGAAGCTTGTCCTTCGCACCCTTACAAGTTCTGCAAACCCTAGCCACCATAGATCGACCAAAGCTACGACAGCAGAGGCACGAAAGAGACCAGAAGCGACACCTCTCACCCTTGCTTGGGGTGCGCACACCCCCCCCAAACACCATTAGAACTCTCATGCCACAATCACCAAAACCCCTCACAATCCCACCCCGATGCACCCACAAATCACTAGCTGATAGCCCTTGCAATCTCGCATGATTCTCCAAGTTTACGACCAGATTCCAGGTGGTTTTTGACACCGAAAATACCACTTTTCAAAACCATTCAAACCTCTATCTTCTCCTCAACAAAAACCCACACCTCCAATGGCCTCTCCCACTCGCTGTTTGCCAACAATGAGTTGCCAAGTCGTGTTTCTATCATAGGGGTGCGATCGTCATATTTTAAACTTGAGATTGGGTGGGTTATTTTAAAATTTTTATTTTTATTTCAAATTTAATACAATAAAAATGATCAATTTACCTTTTAACCATTATATTAAACTATTTTTTGTTAATTTAAGGACGAAAATCTGGAATTTATGAAATCAATGAGAGTTGCAGATTCGACAAACCTTGGATGGGAACATGTTGTTTACTCTTAAATTAAACAAACTAAAACTTAATAGCCAAGCCTTCAAGGGCCAAAGCAACCTCGTGGAAACAACCATGAGAGACTNTTTATCAATTAAGCTTTTGGTTTTGTCCCTATTTAATGGAGTTTATATATACCACGTATTTTAATATTTAAGCAATGGGAGTGGTGGAATTTCTCAGTGGATGGGGACATAAAGAAGCATCCGATAAATTCCTTTTTTTTTTTTTTTTTTTAAAAGGGAAGAAGAAGAAGAAAAAATCAACAGTTACTATTCCGAAAATGATACTCACAATCCACGTAATTTCCGGGGGAATTTTCTATTGTAATGTAAAGAAAAATTCGTTTGACTACCGAGCGAGCAAGACCCACAGCCTCGTGGCCGTGGGCATTACATTAAGTGTAAAGGACGTGTTCCCACCCAAGATTTGGTAAATCTACAAGTTTCTGCTATTTAAATTCCATGTTCCCACTCTTAGATTAACATGTTAGGGTTTGACACAGTATAAAATATGTTGTTACTAAATTACCCTTTAACTTTTATTTTTAATTGTGACGGCTAAATATCAAAAACCTTCCTGAAAGATGGAAGCTTGTCCTTCACACCCCTACAAGTTGGGCAAACCCCAGCCACTATAGATCGACCAAAGAAGCGACACCTCTCACCCTCGCTTGATCACACCCCCACCCCCCTAAATCACCACCATTAGAACCCCCATGCCACAATCACCAAAACCTCTCACACTCCCACCCTGATGCACCCACAAATCATTGGCCGATAGCTCTTGCAATCTCGCACGATTCTCCAAGTTTACGATCAGATTCCAAGTGGTTTTTGACACCGAAAATACTACTTTTCACAACCATTCAAACCCCTATTTTCTCCTCAACAAAACCCACACCTCCGCTGGCCTTTCCCACTCGCCATTTGCCAACCACAAGTTGCCAAGTCGTGTTTCCATCATAGGGGTGCGATTGTCATATTTTGAACTTGAGATGTGGTGGGTTATTTTAAATTTTTTATTTTTATTTCAAATTTAATACAATGAAAATGACCAATTTATCCTTTGACCATTATATTAAACCATTTTTTGTTAATTTTAGGATGAAATTTTGGAATTTATGAAATCAAGGTGAGAGTTGCAGATTCGGCAAACCTTGGGTGGGAACATGTTGTTTACTCTTAAATTAAACAAATTAAAACTTAATAGCTAAGCCTTCAAGGGCCAAAGCAACCTCGTGGAAACAACCATGAGAGACTCCGATCATGATCATGATCACGGTCATAGCCCCACGGCCCTACCCCTCCCAAATTTTCTCTCTTTTGCCTTTTAAATAATCAAATATTATTTTTCTATTTTACTTCCATTTGAGGACCTGAGAATCCAGAACCCAACTTTTATATTGTGTTTGAAGGCATTCCACACGCTGTCCCAGCCTAGGCCTTTTATACATATTACCTGACCAATCCTAGAGCGAGTATCATATAACTATAAGCTCCTCTTTTTTTTAAAACCCTCAATTTTCAAACCATCGAGACAAAATCCAGCTGATTTTCTACTTATAAATATGGTAATATAACGTCAGATTTTAAATTATTATTTTCTTATATAATGTTATCCTGTCCCATTAATACCGTAGGCTGTAGCCAGACTAAGACTTCGTCAGCTTGTAGAGGATTTTTTTTTTTTTTTAATTGATCTTTTTGAAACATCTCAGCTCTATCTGTACCCAATAAACCTGTCTTTTTTCAAGGATGAAAATTTGATTATTCAGGATTTAAGGCTTGCTGATGTGAAAATTTAGAACTTATCTTAAAAATGTAACAAATGATTGTAAATTGAAATACTAATTGAATATATGAAAACGTTAAAATCTCCTAACAGCTAATTAATTAAGTAATTTCATTTTCATTCATAAACACATTACTTTTACTGGTATGTATATTCAAA